GGAGAAAGGGATGAAAATGGAGACAGATTTGTAAATCTATGTGCACTCAACGAATTGGTTGTACGTGGCAGTATATTTCCCCACAAACGCATAAGCGAAGCTACATAGATCTCACCGGATTACACTACAAAGAACCACATCGATCATATTTACATCAGTAAAAAAATTTCAGATGGTAAATGAAAGATGTGAGAACAAGGATAGGAGCTGACACAGCTTCGGTTTACCATCACCTAGTGATTGCCAACATGAAACTGAAGCTTAGGAAACATTAGACAACTGGAGAAACAGCAATGCAATAGTTTAATACAACCTTCTTTCAAGATACTCACAAACCTAACCAACTCAAGAGAGCTTTCAAACACTGGCTCCGAGCCTCAAAAGATCTACTAAAGGAAGAAGAAACTACTATGAAGGACAATCGGAAAGAGGTCAATGCGGTACAAACTTCAACGTGTCAGTAGATTATGGACTGCAAAAATCATCATTTTACGGAATGGATCTCTATCCAAATCATGGACAAGATTGAAGAAAGGAAGAACAAAAAGATAGAAATTAACAACGGACGAACAAGAACAGAGAAAGTCAAGTCACAAGCTGAATACACAGAAGCATATAAGCAAGCGGTATGAGCATTAGAACCGACATTCAGAAATACGTAGAACACCTAGCAACGACAGTGGAAAAAGCTGTAATAGATGGGAATGTCAGACAACTATATGGCACAACGAAGAAAGTAACAGGGAGATAACTACTATGTTCCTACACTTTTCCGCCCGATTCGGTAAACATTCATCCTCCACTATGCCATTTTCTTAGTGCTTAAACTTTGATTGGCAGCTCATACTTGAAACTATCATCATTTAAAGAATTGCGTCGGTGCATTACCACCAGTCAATAATTCGTCACCACCTGATAGTCTTGTACAGTGGTACTCATGGAAATAGTGTTTCCCAACAGGATGTGAAGCATAGAGCATCATCTGGAACATTTCATTTTATCTAAAATTAAACTTTAATTAGCTTCACATTATAAAGGGAGGTTATAAGGACACATTGAAACGTTACACGAGACGGCCACTACAACCATCATGTAAGCAGGCCTACTATTAGACAGTCGGCAATGAACCAACGTGCCGCATGGTTTCCCCCAAATGTTATAAATAATAAACCTGCAAGATGTAACTCTTATCATCACTCTTGCAGTGGGGAAGATGGTATACTAGGTTATGCACCATCAACGCAACCCCAACATGCAGGCACCTGTCTTAATTGTCCACCAAAACAAGTACAACAAATTATTCCACCTTACCAAAATAAGGATTTTTTTCGGCCTCCAGAGATCCCTTGTTCCACTAGCACTACAATTCGCTCATTCTATAGCCCATGCGATCCGGCAAACACGTTAAAACATAGTCCAGGCATACCTAGAACTCATACCTTCGATAAGGATGCTCTCGGTTTTTTTTTACACTACACACTCCTTTTTTAAACTTATTACTTATTAACGCACGTTCACTTCTGAACAAAATTTCAGCCATGAGAACCTTAGCCTTTCTACCCATGCCTTCTTTTATACTTGTCACTGAAATGTGGTGTTATCCAGCAGTGGTCGATTTAGAATTAAATATCCAAAACTATCGACTCTATCGCTGTGACAGAGAAACTAAGCGAGGAGGCTCAAACTTAGCCGTATCTTTTTTTCAAAATCTTTAACAAGCTCTCCTTCACATCCAGTCAGGCGATTCAATATGCTAAAGCCTCACATTACGACATTCGTAACTCCTTGTCTTTAGCAAAACAAACATATTCTAGATATTCTCTCTATATGAATTACCTGTAAGTTTTCTAGGCTCTGGAATAATTTACCTCAAACTATCCGTATGTTAAACTCTCTCCCATTGTTTGTTCGGTCAATTAATGCTTTTTGCTCCTCTGAAAATGCATTAAATGCTCTAGTGCCTGCAAGTGTATCTTACTCCACAAGTGAGATTATTGGAACTTTAAATGTTTAACCTCTTACTTGCTATCATTGTTTTGTTGTTCCGTGCTCTTTGCTTTAATCTTACTTTCTCTAGTTGTAGATCACTATCAATAACTCGCTTTGGCACTAGAAATAATCTTACAGAACATCAGGCTATCCACTTAAGAAAAAATGACAAGTTCCCTGTTGTTGCATTGGCCTGCCATATATAAACTATTTATCAATTACTAAACCAGCGAACATAAAACTTTCTTATATTTCATGTTTGTTCTCTACATTAAATGTTGATTTTTATAACAATCTGATCACGCCTGTAAACTGGTGTGAATTCTTTAAATATTATTTTCAGAATATATTATTATTATTATTAAAAGTAGAGAGGTTGGGGTTACTAACCAGCAGACATTACTGATGAAGGCGATGACTTCAACTCACTCATGTCTGTGGGACAGAACACTTGTTTGTTTCGGGCTCTTTATGATCAAGCCCGATGCAATCAGTGATACTGATGTTATCCTGCTAGGCATACCAATCCCTGTCTTGTTTCCAACCTTATGTGCAACTCACAATTTTTCTAAGATAACCTATAACATGCCAACACAAACGTTCAACTTATGACCTAGTGACTTACATCAGATGGAAAGAAGGAGAACTAATCAGTTTTTATTCTAGTAAACGGTCTTCCTTATTCTAGCTTCAACTCCCCTCCATCATTCGAACCCATTCCAAATTGTTAAAAATCACAAATCATAGTTCATTATTACTGTATTCTGTAAAGGCTCTAACCACACTTCACTCTAGCAACAGCAGCTAATACAAATTCTGTCTACTAAAATATCATGCCTTTGTATGTTCCAATAAAAATTGCTATGTATTGTTTAAGGTTTATATTCAAATGCCCTACTGCTCCTTTGTTTTTCTTTTTTCAGCGTCACACTCTCAGTGCATGGCCATGGAGCTTCCTACATCTGAAGCAAACATGGCATCAGCATCTTTAAGGGTCACAGCCCATACCTGGTGCCATTTATATCTACTTTACAATAGCTATAAACTTCTTAAAAAATTGTGTTGCATAATTACTTAGCAAGGTCAGAATTCTAATACAACAACGACCGGTTTGGACATGGTTTGAGTCTCCCACAGTCACAGCGTGGACGCGATATCATTGTTGAAACAGATCATAAAAGCTGCACTCACAGGGTGGTGCTAAAACATAAACCTGATTAATAACTCTCTGTCACAACTGTACGAATGTGCAGTCTTTTATTTTTGCTTATATTTTATCTATTTTGCAAACCTATTTGGGAAGCATCATCCACGCAAACCAGTGCCGTAAATTATAGATCATGCTTGTAAAAATGACGTGTACCTGCTTTAACAGAAATATGTTAAACAAAACGTAAAAGCAACAAAACATAACTGTACGTGTCCTGGATGAAAATTAACATACATAAACAATAGGGTAGATTCAAGGATGAATAGTGTAACATTGACAACACTGTAGGATAGAAACGACCATCGATTTGAAATTATGAAATAGTTGATTGTTTGAATCAATACCTTTTATTGGGTAGTTGCAATTAGTTAGAAGCCATTTGAGTCAAGAATATACACGCATATTATTGGGGGATTTACTCCAACAACAATTGCATCTAACTAATCGAGTTATCACTACAGTAGCATTACTAGCGTCAAGTGGATTTGCAGAGCGTCTACTCGGTCGTTATATACACACAGAATGACACAGCATGGATTCGAAATAATATTATTATCTTTCTGAGCAATTTCATGTCAATAGGACTTCTCTTAAGTGAAAACAGGACGTTTTCGTGGAAAAGAAGTAACTAAAGAAGTTTCAGATTGACATTAAACGGGAAAAAATTCATGCCGAAAACTTAGGTCTGTGGGGAAACGTGTCGTTCCTCGGGGAAATTCACTAACAACTGAAGAGTCTAGCCTGATTATGTAGAGTATCCTGAAATTCGCATTTAAACACGCGCTTTGGTTAGTGCTTGTGTTTTGGCTGTGATTATTACCTACGTATTCAACTTAACCAAGTAAGACGTTCACAGGACCATAATAAAAAGGAGCAGGATTTCTATCAGTTAATGAGGCATTTTCTTAGAATTTGTGGAATTAGTCTTTGATGCCGCTTGGGTCCTTCGGGCAGGCTGGTGTACTACGATGAACAATTGGCACTGGTATCGAATTGAAAGTTTCTGACACAAAATCTATACAATATACCAGTTATTTATATTATTCATGGAGTAAGAAGCGAATAACGTCTTCCAAAATATCACTATTAGTGTCAAGTAACTGTGCAGTCACTTAACACCACAAATATTGAAGATACCACAAGTATTTGTCGTTGACAACAAGTTAACCAGCAACATCTTCTATAATCAAATCGTGGCCCATCCAGTGAAATTAAAACACAGAAACGAGGAGGTTCGAAGTCATATTTGATAGGTTACCAATATATCGAGAAGTGACTAATCTAGACTGGCCAACGATTGCAGGTGATGCTGAGCACGGAGTTCTCACTCGTAATCTGGTGCTAATGCATAACCGAGCGCCTTCAGATAGATGAGTCTATTAAAATTGATGTGGTCAGCATCCAATGTCGAAGGCGTACAAAGCTATTCCGGGGATCGATTTACGGCTACAGTATAATTTTTAGTGTAGATTAAGTGATAAATTTACAGTGGTATCTCAAATCGTCAGTTACGTTAGAATAAGTTATCTCCCACTCTGATCTTTGCCCGGAAATCTCTGAGATTATTAGCCAACTGTCCAGAAAGCGAAATGAAATAAATGTAGACAGTGATTTAGCTGTTCTGCAAAAGTTATCGATGACTGGAATGCCCTGCTCGGAAAAGAGAGATGGTATCTCATTATAATTTTTATAGCAAACTGGCCATTTTCTCAAGCACTTACCACAGTAGTTAACTTGGGCCAGTTAAGCTACAATCCTCACTTGAGACCGATTACTTATTGAATATTGGTTAAAGATCCTTGCCAGTTTTTCTAGTTGTGCGTTGCTTGCTGCTAAATGAAGGACGAAGATGCCCTTGCAGATTTCCTAGCTCATAAAAAGCGTCTGGCAGATATATTTTTTCCCAATTCAAGATCAGCTATAATTCATCAGTGGGTTATCTTTAATATTCGGCATTACAATTCTGACAGTGATACGAGTGCTTACGATGAATTTTGGAAATTTTTGCTAAGATTACAGAAAATTGTCAGAAAGAGTTGTTCTGAAGGTTTGTAAAACTTCAACTAATATTTTTAAAGGTCTTGATGGGTGCCTCTTAAGTAAGAAGTCGAAGTTAAACATACGAACTAGCAATTATCGTTTGGAGGACTATGTTAGACATAAAGATGTTTCAAGTAATTAAATTTAAACTTAGGCCTCACTAAAAGGACATTCTCACAGATCTCTTGCTCGTTCAGAGCTCGATTGCTTTCATCTTATATATGACATGTATCTCGATTTTCTTCTGAAGCGCAAGGTACATTTATTTTTTAATTGTCATATGAAAAATATTCTTCGAAATCATTTGTTGACTCCATACTCATTTGTGGTCTCATCTTCGTAAAAGCATTTTGGTATCGTCTTTAATGTTAAGGCAAATCTTCGAATAGAGGCGATATTTTCTAAGTAAGTGTGTAAAGTAAACACGTGTGATGTTCGGATGAGACATGATAATCCGAGTTTTCGAAAGACTTACAGACTAAGCGTGTTAAGTGATACCTTCTGGATCGGTTACGCTTTTTGGCTAGAGATGGTGAGACTATAATTTATGGACGATCTTTGAGCGACGTCAAAGTAACCTTGAGAGTGTCCATCTACTTACTAGGGCTAAATGAGGGTTATAAAGCAATTTGAAGAATAACAATTATGATTCGCAGTTGACGGTTAGGGTTAGGAACTAGATTTACGGTTTTTCGTCACGAACTGACATCAGCTAAAATGCTAAGATGCTATTTGGCCAAATATGTGAGTGAACTTTGTACCGAAACCTGCTATCCTAAATCTGATTGATTCTGACCATATCCTATGTCGTTTCGAAGCATTTAATAATTTCTCATCTATACTAAGCATTCTAGATCTAAAATCGTGTCACCGATATCTTTAAGATAGGTTATAAGAAAATAAGTTTATTGGTGAAGATAGCCATATTTTGCCAACTTAAGTATATGAATTTTGTTTTATGCTGTCAATTGACATATATGCTACCGTAATCGCGTTTAGTCGGTTGACGATCGTTGTCCATGTGTATGAAATACGTTTACCATTTAAACTTAAATTAACCTCGTAAACATGATAGGAATCTGTTTAAACCATTAGAAGTAGTTGCAGATCTTGTTCCTGTGGGATTTTTTTGTGATGATGTGCAGTCAGATGGAATCAGTCTACATATAGTGAAAGATACAAAGATTCATTTCAATCTGGACCACCTTCAAAGCCGCCGCATTACTAGTCTGGGCGTGGATTGGATGTGCAATTATGTTTAGTGCTTGTAAGCTTGGTACTGTTAACTTGAGCATGTTTGGCGATTCGCTGTACTATCGACGTTCTCGAAGGACCATGCACTCCGATGTTAATGGTACTTTAATCATTAATATACTAAAGCGAATGTTTCAAATATTGGAACATGATGGATTTCATCCCAGTGGTTCTTATATCATACGATATTTGCTGACTGAGATAGGATGGGAAAATCAAACCGATATTGTTTACTATATCGTACAGAGAAATGAATGATAGGCTGGTATCTGTTGGTCTATTATTGTTCTGTTGGTAGAATTTTAGAAACTACGAATCTCAGCAGCATGAAATGTTATCAGACATAGCCGAAAATATAGATCTCTGGCTATCACTTTTAAGTTCATTTTTGTATTGGTTGTTTGAATCTTCCCTGAGTACACGACTCTGGGGAGCAAGTACATCCAGCTGACGAGTCCAGAATAGGGCGAAACACGCGTCATGGATTCAACTGCCAGCCACCATCCATCACTGCTTATGATGATCACGCCTTAGTTTTCCATTGGGTTCTTCACTGAAGTAAGATATACGTATTATTTGAAAAGTAGCATTAGTTTTTCCCCACCTAATTAGTGTATTTTTTAATACATAGTATTCTTATTTATATATCGGTTTCGCGATACTTTCCTGTTTTATTCACCATATCATTTCGCTTTGTTTGATGCTGTTTTAGTCCCATTTTGTACCAAACGTTTTATAATATAAAGTTAGGAATAATAGTTCATTTGTATATTAATGTTCCTTACCGTCATCGATAAGTAGTAATAGATAATAATCTCATCTATGGTAAAATTTGAAGTAGGTTATCTAATTAATATGTTTAAACTTCACTTATGTCATCAGTCAGTCAGTCACAACGTAGAACTTCGTACGTACGTACATCAGTTCGAGTTGCCATACCACATTAGCACAGAGATGCAGTTGTCGATTCAAATCCCATAGTGGTAGAAGTAGTAGGAGTATAATCAGAAATCCAAAAGATTAGGGTTTGAAGAAATTATTGAAGGAGTATAGTACAGTGAAATAAATTTGGAAAGAGAAAAAGATAAAGATATGAGGAATTCAGAAGATTAGGATTTGCTAGAACACAAAGAGTGGATGCATCTTCGCCATTGCAAACGATTTTGAGCCATGTCATTCAAGGTCTCTAACCATCGGTTGCTGTCATCTCGCGAATCCCAACCAGGTAGTCTACACCTACCAACATGGCCCAGTCCACTTGTCAGTGACTTCATTGATTTGTGCCACGTTTTGGCCTGGCCACCCCTAGCTTTCTTCCAACCTACTCCTACACCATGAAACATTGCACGTCGGGGCAGTCGGTGGTCGGGCATACGTAACACATGTCCCAGCCATCTCAACTGATGAAGTTTCACTACTTCATCAATCGATTTGCCATCCCTACCTAGTACTCGTTTCCTAGAAACTGCATTACTTACCCGGTGGTCCCAGGATATACGAGCAATGCTTCGAAGACACCTATGATCGAACACTAGTAGCCTACGAATATCCTCTACTCTTATTGGCCATGTTTCACTGCCATAAAGTAGGACGGAGCGAACTGCTGCACAGTAAACCCGTCCTTTGGTTGCTAGACGGATATCTCGCCTACGCCATAAATGACGCAAGTTGGCGAAAGCTAGACGAGCCTTCTGTATCCGTGCTGAGATTTCGTCACATACCAGACCACAAAGGCTGATGAGACTCCCAAGATAAGTGAAGTGGTCTACACGCTCAACTACTTCACTCCCTATCATTAGTTCAGGTGTCGATGCAACCCAATCCTGAAGTAACATTTTGCACTTCGAGGGAGAGAATCGCATTCCGAACATGCCTGCATAGTTGCTTATAGTGGTCAGAAGACTCTGCATGCTGTCAGCGTCTTCACCGAGTAAAACTATGTCGTCGGCGTATTCTAAGTCAACAAGTGAGCCTCCTGGTAAAAGTTCAACTCGTGGAGATTGAGATGATGAAAGTGCTATCTCTAAAAGTATGTCAATGACAAAGTTAAACAAGAATGGGGAGAGTGGACAGCCCTGACGAACGCCACTTGTGGTAATCAGTTCTGATGACAGTTCGCCATAGGCTCTAACTCGACCAGCTGTGCTCGAGTAGAGAGCCTTTATGAGGTTAATGTACTTCTTTGGTACTCCTTTCAGTGACAAACATTGCCATAGAACCTCACGATCAACAGAGTCAAATGCCGCCTTAAGGTCAAGAAATACTACTATTGTGGGACGTCTGAATTTGTGTCTATGTTCTAGAACCTGACGTAGGGTGAATATCTAGTCTATGCAACCACGTCCAGGTCGAAAACCAGACTGGTTTTCTCTAGTCTGCTCGTCACGAGCTTTGGTTAGGCGACCTAGTATTATTGAAGCTAATATTTTAGACACTATATTAGTCAAACTGATCCCTCTGTGATTGTCACAAGAGGACTTTTGTCCTTTCTTATAGACTGGCACAATCAGTGATTGGGACCAGTCAGATGGAATTACGTCCAGTTCCCAGATTCTACCTAAGACCTCAGTCAATCTCACTGCTAGTACTGGACCACCATCCTTAAAAATCTCAGGGGTCAACCTGTCAGGGCCTGCTGCTCTCCCTCGCTTCAGATTTCCTATAGCTTTTTCAACCTCACAGAGGGTTGGAGGAATTACATCAATTTGACATTCAGGACGACTGGGGATCGTGGGCAATTGAAGTGTGGCTGAAGGCCAGTTGAACTGATCCCTAAAGTGTTCTGCCCATCGATCCAACCTCCTGGATTGAGAATGAATAATATGCCCATCTTTATCTGAGATGGTTTCACTGATATTCGGGTTCCTAATACCGGTTTCTTTAACGAGTCTGAATAGCTGCCTACTGTTACCTATTGCCGCTGCCTTTTCCATCTCTCTTGCTTTCGCTACCCACCACTGTTCACGATCATTACGTAGACTTCTTATAAGCCTGCGCTTAAGTTGACTCCGCTCTTCGTTATGCTCAGAGCCAGGTGGGATGAGTTTACGAGCATCTATCAGTGCGATAGATGCTGCCGAGATCCATTGTTTCTCCCTAACGTTATGGTTTACCTTATTAGTGGATATCACTGCTGTTTCCACAGCTTTTCGGATGTCATTCCACGCTGCCTCGGGGTGGACACAACTTACATGGCTGCCTAACTGTTTTTCTAGTTGTTCCTGAAATATATTCTAAGCTTGCCTATCATTAAGTAGAACCCTTAGAGGCTTCCCTGCAGTGTCTTTCCTACGACCAGTAAGACGCAGACAGATACGTGCTCGCACTAGAGCATGATCTGAATCTAAGCATGTGCCCCAGAATGAGCGACAGTCTTCTATCGAGCCCCTCCATCGGTGGCTGATAGCGATGTGATCTAATTGGGTCCAACGTTGGGACGAATTCGGGGGTCGCCAGGTCAAAAGATGTTTTTCCTTATGCTTAAAGTTAGTATTTGCAAGAAATAGGCGGTTATCTGAGCATAGCTGCAACAGACGTTCGCCATTATCTGTTCTTTTAGCCAAGACACCATAAGATCCACCCAGGTGTCTTTCCCTTTCACTTAGCTTACCTACTTGAGCATTAAAGTCACCTGCTATTATTACTACATCAGAACGCCTAGCTTCTCGGAGAAGGTCAGAAAGTTTCCTGTAGAACTCATCTTTTATATCGTCTGAGCTGCAGTCAGTGGGAGAGTAGGCAGAGACGACGAAGAGGCAACGACGAGTTTCCCTATCTTTCCGGGTCCTTACTGATCCGTTTAGTCGGACAGCGCATAGACGACTGTCTACTGGGATCCAGTCTAAAAGAGCTAGTTCTGCCCTACGACTTAATGCTATACCTACTCCAGCGAGACCACGGGAAGCAGCATCAGGGCTTCCAGATACACGAAGCGTGTATCGAGATGGTTCTTTATTTTGATTAGGTGAGGTCAAATGAATGACACTACTCGGATCTTGTATGCGCGTTTCGGAGACGCAGCACACATCGATGGTGTAAGATTCTGGAGTCCTAGCTAAGGAGGCCTGTTGTTCTATTTGGCACAATGTTCGGACATTAAAAGTTCCTATATGTAGTTTAGAGCGTGGTTTCAGGAGACCAGGAATAACGTTCCGTGTACACGAATCGTTTGCCCTAGCGGTGCGAGGTGATAAAAGGACGTGGAAAGGGTTAGTCGTGGAGATAAGAGAGTTATTAGGAGGAGGAAGGATTTGAAAGTGACCAACTTGGTCTCGTGTGCTGTTACGGGTATGAGGGCTAATATTACTTCGCGGCTGCCCACACCGTGGAAGGGTATTTCTTGAGAGACCTGAAAAAGAAGTTGAATTAGTGTTGGTCTTAACGACCTCGGGGCCGAGACCGCAGTGCCCAAGGGACAACTGCTTGAGGCCGGTCACGCACGGCCTTTTTGTGGTGGATTTTTGACGTGTTAGCTCCGTACTTGTTGGGACCTTACCGCCAGAGACGGAAATCCGTGGAATAAGGCGAGGTGTGCATTTTAGGGTCCACCTTTTCTAACCCCACCCCTCCTTGTGGGAAGGCAGCATCGCTGTCATGCTGGTTGTCTGAAGGAAACACCTTACTGCTTTCACACCTCTGTACAGTCAGCAGTACGACTTCGCCTTCGGACCTTGGGATTGCTGCTTTTAGTCTCACCGCTCTTCAACCGACCTGTCTGGCATGGTAGGACCTTGAGGAACGATTGTTCCAGCCAGCATAGCTCGATTGGATCATCACGATAGGCAAGCCCGACCACCACGTCAAGGTAGCAGCAACGGTCATCAAGACAAATTAAATGTACCGAGTTATATAGTAAAGTCATTAAACCACTGTATTATCTCATTTTAGTTAATAACAAATCCAAACATTACGACAACACTAACCTTGGAAAATGTAACTTTTTGTTTTAAGTATTCTTACAATGGCATTGAGGATGTTCGGAAGAAAGAATTCTGTCTGTATTTTCAGTTAACTGTATTGTATTAGATGCTTTGAGTTAGCTTTAGTAAATCTAGAAAAAAGATCAACCAAACCAAATTAAGTGTGCTACTTTTGAATCCTTAGTATTTTAGTTTAGCTCACACAAGGTCTACATTTATGTACAACGCTTTGAGCTACACAGTTTGTGTAGTACCCAAACAAAAGTAATTGTATCTGTGTTCTAACATGTAAGTTACTGGTTAGGGGGCTAGTGTTTCGACCACCAAGCCTCTGCGTTTCTTCTAAAATGACATTCATGACGAATTTATAGTATGGAGTTAACATTATTAATTAAACCCATCCGACTCAAATATTTCTATTAAGAACAACTGAAGGGAATTTTCTTCTAACATCTATAACTTCAACCATCATTTCAGTCAAGAACTGGCTTTTTTTCCTGGCCTATGTTTGTTGAAGCTGTCTTAAGTGTATTAAAGATAAAGCAGCGCTATCAATGTCTAGTCAAACAAGCTATATAATTGATGCAGCCACAAGTTTGTCTGAATCGTCTATAATTTTGATTACTACACATAACTGCTGTAAAAACGACCCAACTAGCCGTCTTTTTCGGCTGCTTTTCCGTGACAGCTAGACATTTTCGATACTGCGAGCAAAAATTCAATAAGAACATCAGTAACCTATCATATTAATTTCCTTTTCCAATTACATTTGAGGAAGGAGTAGTCATGTTAGTTATATCTGTTGGTAATAGATGGTTACATTTATGATATTTTGTATCTGTATTCAACAAATTATTGGTCAACTAATGTCAAGTACTACTCAGTTTAATATATACAAGTCTGAATACTAACCAGTGTAAATCATTTTAAAATTATTTAAAATTCATTTAGCGCCTTCGTGTTCCTATACCCATTATTCGATTCACGGTTTTCTTGTTGAAGTACCAATAACAACAGTTGTAGTCGTTGTACTCTTAACAGGTTCAAGAAATTTTTTTATAGAGCTAATTACCACCGTATTCTTTGTTTCTTTTGTTCTTACATCATGATTTCCGATGTGATATTGTTTATTTATTTAAACATAAATATTGGTACAAGGAAGCACCAGATACATATGCGCCGCGCAAATCTCATTTGATTTGTGTGAGGGCTGGAATACCGCCCAGGTGCCCAGACTGAAGCAGGTGGTAGGGGGCCACACCCGGAGCTTTTGACCTAAAGGTCTTATCCAAAAGGCAGTGGAGCATCGTGAGGAGATGCAGTCCCATGGTAGCCGATGACCAACGATTAATTCATACGCCATTTGTACCCTCAGGATACTGGAGCCCATGTGCATCATTGGTTTGGAATCAGGGTCTTCCAACTCCCCTAGGTAGATCCTCCACATCCACCAACCAGGTTAAAGCGCCGGACATTCGCTTTTCGTCCTCTCAATTTAGTAAACAACATCCCCGCCACGAGAAGGCAGTGAGTAGAACTTCCCTGGCAGAGGCTATATACGCGTGGTCACGTGAGAGCATTTCGAGAGGGAGTGCAGACTCTCCCCGTACCGTACCAGAGCATTCGGGGGCATGTGATACATAGTATAGGCATTGAAATATTCGGAATACCGTTTAAATCTCTCTTTTAACAGACTAGAGTTGCTAGTTCGTTAGGTCATACAGTTAGCACCAACTACAATAGTCAGGTTTAGCGGGAGTTGTTTTAAGCAACTCTTTACCGAAAGGGTATGAAGAAAATTGTGAATGTAATGACGGGGCTGATGGTCTTGGGTAATCGTTAGTTAAGTGCTTTTCAAAGGAGCAGATGTTTAACAGTCTTTATCTTTACTTATCGTGAGACTATTGGGATAAGATCTAATCATTTATCGATGATGATTGCAGACACATGACTACCTAGATCTTGATAATTAAGGCACAGTATTAAGGAAGGTCGTGATTCGTGTTGAGAAGTTATTCATATTACACGCGGCTAAGCCAACACCAAAACTTTGCATTAAAACTTAAAACTATTTCTAGTTACTGAAACTATGGTGCTCACTGTTTGTGGTCCTATCGATGTTTAGTCAAGTTTCTTGGTCTGGTAAAATATATCTTTAGGTAAATCCAACTTTTTGGACTGGGAATCGGTACCCGCCTACTTCTAAACTTCTATTATAACCCAGAGATATGAGAAAATCTCTCCTGTATTATTATACTAAGTCACGAGGCGTTCGTTTCAAACAATAATCTTCCGTAATTTGTTCCAAACGTCTAAGGAAACGTCTCAACTAGTCTGAAATAAATGAGCTTTGTTTTCGTTTAACATGCAAGATTAATTTATTACTTCTCGCTCTCATTGTAAGGTTAATCCGTAGGTACTTTAATTTGTTTCTCCAAGAGTCATGGCTTTTTCAGGACGGGAGAATATCGAACAACTAAGTGGGGTAGTTTCACACACTTGTATGACTAAAATAGAAAGCAATTCAAACTGGAAATGATCCGTCTTCACTTTACTAAGTTCTAGGTCTTCATTCACTTCTTAATTGTTTTTCTCCAGGAAAAGCATTGATAATTTCACCCAGAGCTGTTTGCAAACATTTAGAAATGTTTATTTTAATCCTCTTTTTTCATGACTACATTTTTTACTTAATAAGTACCTTTTTATTTTAATTATCTATTAGTTCGCTCGAATTTTGAAACTTAGAATAGATCAAAGTGTTCTACCGATCGCTAACTTTAGAACAGAGTTATTATCTACACTATCTAAACATCAAGTTGTTATAGTCGCTGGTGATACTGGTTGTGGAAAGTCAACACAAGTACCACAGTACCTATATTATGGTGAATCAAACTTGAATGATACACCTGGACCTAACTCCTATCAAAATATTGCTGTTACTCAACCTCGTCGCATCGCGTGTATTAGTTTGGCCGCACGTGTAAGTACTGAGATGTTGAATGAAAGAGGCTCTAAGGTTGGATATCAAGTAAGTTGGGACGAGATTTTTAAAAATACTTTCTAGTTATCATGAAACTCTTAATTTCAGTAATCAGAACTTACCTTTTTTAGGACTAGTTTAAAGTTATATATCTTATTCTCAAATGATTGCGAATATGTGTACTGAAATTCAGGTGCGTTCACTCAACGTGCCCCATGTAGGGGGAGGGGATTCATATCCTGGATTCTACTTCTATCAATAATTCAAATATCGTAATATCGGGGCATCTACTGAAGATAAATATATGCAAACAAAAATTTATCAAATTATAATCTTTAGTACTAACAACAGGGAAACACAAACACATAATTTCACTGTTCTTCTAATACATTCTGGTTAAATAAAGATTTTGACAAATTAAAAAAATCAGTTTTTGGGTATCAACTCTTCTTACTCATTCTGAATAATATGATTTTCAGTGCATACTTCAATTAAAGTCTAATATACGAATGAGAACTGATGTGGACTGCTTTCTAAGTTCATATCTCATTGGAAGTGCCAATGTGAGTATATATCATCCAGTGTGTGGTCTCATATTAAATGTAACGTACTTTGCGAATTTCCCTACTAGTTACTACCAAAATTATATCAATTTTCCTAAAGATAATATCTTGATGCATGTATAGAGAATCAGATCTTTTTGATCTGATATGTTATGAAAACCTATGAATAAAAAGGACAGTGATTGATGATTTTAATTGCCATCAGTTTTCAGAGCGGAATTAAATTTGTTTTCATCTTATTGTATAAATGTATGAATTTATTCTACTAACAAAATACGCCTATATTTTCCTGAAAAAATATTTTGTTAGGTCCGTTTTGAACGAAGTCGTACTAAGGCTACACGAATTCTTTTTCTCACAGAAGGTTTATTGTTACGTCAAATGCAGACGGATCCATTTCTGAAAGACTATGATGTCATCGTTCTTGATGAAGTAAGTAAGAAGGTTATATGCTCAAATATGAAATTTGTTCCATGTAATACTTTGAATAAACTTATTATAAAACCAAAGATAAATTAGGCGAAATGTATAATTTTGAAAGGAAATTTGTGTTGAGCTAGAGAAATTCAAGCATGAAATTTCTTTTAGTAGTACTATGGATTTTCTTCACACGTAGTTACCAACTTTCCAACATAATTTGGTGAAAACTCCGTATATTATTTAACTATGGGTTATATATTGAATTATATAATCCCTTTGAATTTTAACATTCGGTGGTACGAACAAATGACAGGAATATCACACATAAGTTATCTAAATAAAATTTGTGTTTTATGGATGAACATTTAAACTATCTCATGGAGGGTTAATAAGACGGGAATTTTATTTACTTAAGAATTTCTGTTTATTGTTCCCAAAGACTGTGGTATCATATCATTTAACCTTTTGAAATCCATTCTTTGATTGATGTAGTACTTTCAAGACATAATTTTCTTTGCCATGTAGTCACCTCTAAAAGTAATATTATTTGATCAATAACAACCTCACTTCTTTTTGTTGAACATCAGAAAAATATCTTCCTTTCATCATCAACCTTCTAAAACAAACAAGCTAAGTATCCCCAAGAATCAACCATGTTTCTGAAGTTGAAATCAGGTGAATGAAATTTGACGAATCCAACTTAATAGGGTCGGTTGTACAAAGTGAAGTTAGCAAAGATGACTAAGCTTCAGACTAAGAAATTAAAAATTAATTCCTTCGACTATTCAGTTACTGATTCACAAGAAATCAATTCCGGAGCGCTGGAACTTATTGAAAATTAATATTTCACTGGTCATTGTATCCAGAGTACACATCAGGAAAAACCAAAAAATCCTTCCTTCTAAACTACTAATCGTATAATCTATCTTGTAGAAACTACTCTTTTGGTAATTTATGATGGTTGACAATTGATAAAATTCTAAGAATTGCGGTGGACCTTCGAAATGTTCTGGCTTGAATATATTAAAAATTAATGGATTTATCTAAAATAGACTCGGTTTTGAGCATTTATTAAGCAGAAGCTCGACCAGAAATTCAGACCTTAAGTAACAAAGTTTCGAATAAATTCCCTGGCTCAAAAAATCAAACGAGTTGTTAACACAGTTAATTTTGGCGGAAATATAATCCTTTAGACAACGATTCCTTCAATTCTGGTTGAAAAATTTCCAAAAACCGGCTCGGCTTGTTCAGTTTCATCATTATTTCGTGAACATCAACAGGTGTTATGAAGAAGGCTTCAGAATTTGTTATGAGCAAGTTTTTATTGGTAAAATGATAAATATATTGTTGATTGATAAAGGATGCAATCATCTACGTGGATCCTCAATCGAACTGGTGCTAGAATATAATTCAACTGATAAAGGAATTTAAATATTTCCTATGGCACATACAATATATTAGTACAAAAAATGATCATAATGAAATGTCATTTGAGACGTAAGCGATTATAGGATACTGGTTCTTTCGAAATCATTTACTTGCCAGTGAAATTAAAAGCTGGCTATCAGGCTTAACGTTTCCCCATCATATGAAGATGAAATGTATCTAAAGTTTCTTCATGAAAATCCGAAGCAAGTTATGAATACCAAGACTGTTCGGCATACTACATACACTAGTTTGTTCTATTCTCTAAAAATACCATAGTTATCCTCTTTCATTTCGCACTAAGTATTATAACTCCGCCTGTAGCTCTTCTAGAGTTACTGCCGGTCCCAAGCCCGGGTAAAGGAGGAGGGTTGGGCATGGGGTTAGCGACCCCATCCCGTAGAAAAGCTAACTCGCTAAAAAAAACGCTAACCAGAAAAAATAATTAAAACCATTTAAACTCTGCCCTGGGAGTTGAAGGAATAATTATGACGTCTCATGATGAAAGCCGAAATTCTTCGGAAGTCACGAGACCGATGCACCTTCTAACAACCAGAGCAACACTCTTTATAGGTACATGGAACGTCCGGACAATGTGGGAGACAGGAAAAACCAGCCAAATAGCAATGGAAATGAGAAGATACAACTTGGCAGTACTCGGAATCAGCGAAACCCATTGGACACAAACTGGACAACAAAGGCTAGGTACAGGAGAGATGCTGCAGTACTCCGGTCACGAAGGGGAAAATGCTCCACACACTCATGGAGTTGCTCTAATACTGTCCAAAGAAGCACGAAATGCACTTGTGGGATGGGAATCTCATGGACCCGGGATAATCAAAGCATCATTCAGAACAAAGAAGCAAGGGATCAAAATGAACATTATCCAATGTTATGCACCCACTAATGATAGCAACGACGATGATAAAGATCAGTTCTATGAAAGGCTGCAATCAATTGTAGCAAAGTGCTCACGAAAGGACCTCACCATCCTGATGGGAGATCTAAATGCTAAAGTTGGAGTGGACAACACAGGATATGAAGATGTAATTGGACGACATGAACTAGGAGAGAGAAATGAAAATGGGGAGAGACTTGCAAACCTATGTGCATTCAACAAATTGGTTATAGGCGGCACAATATTCCCACACAAACGTATACACAAAGCTACATGGATCTCACCGGACCACACCACAGAGAACCAGATTGATCACATCTGTATCAACAAAAAATTCCGAAGATCAATGGAAGATGTGAGAACCCGGAGAGGAGCTGACATAGCTTCAGATCACCACCTGGTTGTGGCCAAGATGAGACTGAAGCTAAAGAAAGACTGGACAACTGGACAAACAGTACTACAAAGGTTCAATACAGCCTTCCTTCGAGATACTGACAAGTTCCATGAATTCAAGATAACTCTCAACAACAGGCTCCAAGCTTCACAGGATCTACTGAAAGAACAAGAAACTACTTTGGAGAACAACTGGAAAGGGATAAAAGAAGCACTAACTTCAACGTGTCAGCAGGTTCTTGGTCCTAAGAAGCATCATCACAAGGAATGGATCTCTATGGGAACCCTGGACAAAATTCAAGAAAGGAAGAACAAGAAACTAGCAATTAACAATAGCCGAACACGAGCAGAGAAAGTCAAAGCACAAGCAGACTACGCAGAAGCAAACAGAGAAGTGAAGAAAAGCATTAAAGCCGACAAGCAGAAATACGTGGGAGAACTAGCAACGGCGGCGGAAAAAGCTGCAAGAGAAGGGAATATGAAACAACTATATGACACAACGAAGAAATTGGCAGGGAGATATAGCAAACCAGAGAGACCAGTCAAAGACAAAGAAGGAAAGATAATCACTGAGATTCAAGAACAGAGGAAAAGATGGGCAGAATACTTCGAGGAACTGCTGAATAGACCAGCCCCATTGAATCCACCGAACATCGAAGCAGCCCACACTGACCTTCCAATAGATGTCACTCCACCAACGATCGAAGAAGTCAAGATGGCCATCAGACAAATCAAAAGTGGGAAGGCGGCAGGACCTGACAATATACCAGCAGAAGCACTGAAGTCAGACATTGAAATAACTGCAAATATGCTTCACCTTCTATTCAAGAAGATTTGGGAAGAGGAACAAGTGCCAACGGACTGGAAAGAAGGATATCTCATCAAGATACCAAAGAAAGGAGATCTGAGCAAATGTGAGAACTACAGAGGCATGAGTTTGTTATCAGTACCAGGAAAAGTTTTCAACAGAGTGCTGCTGAATCGGATGAAAGACGCAGTAGACGCCGAACTAAGGGATCATCAGGCTGGATTCCGTAAGGATCGGTCGTGCACAGACCAGATTGCGACACTACGGATCATCGTTGAACAATCAGTTGAGTGGAACTCATCACTATACGTCAACTTTATTGACTATGAGAAGGCGTTTGACAGCGTGGACAGGAGAACATTATGGAAACTTCTTCGACACTATGGAGTTCCTGAAAAGATTGTCAACATTATCCAAAACTCATACGATGGACTACAGTGCAAAGTGGTGCATGGAGGACAGCTGACAGATGCATTTCCAGTAAGGACCGGAGTCAGACAAGGCTGTCTACTCTCCCCATTCCTCTTCCTTCTAGTGATTGACTAGATTATGAAGACTTCAACATCTGAAGGGAAATACGGAATACAATGGACTTCTCACAATCAATTAGATGATTTGGACTTCGCAGATGACCTAGCCCTCCTCTCTCATACACACGACCAAATGCAGATGAAGACAGCAAATGTAGCAGCAGCCTCCGCATCGACAGGCCTCCACATTCACAAAGGAAAAAGCAAGATTATCAAATGCAACACGGAGAACACCAACCCAATCACACTTGATGGCGAAACTCTGGAAGAGGTGGAAACATTCACGTACCTGGGGAGCATCGTTGATAAACAAGGAGGATCGGATGCAGATGTAAAGGCGAGGATTGGCAAAGCAAGGGCAGCATTTCTACAATTGAAGAACATATGGAACTCAAAACAACTCTCAACTAATTTCAAGGTTAGAATCTTCAATACGAACGTCAAGACAGTCCTACTGTACGGAGCTGAAACGTGGAGAACTACTACGGCCATCATCAGGAAGGTACAAGTATTTATAAACAGTTGTCTACGCAAAATACTCAACATCCACTGGCCGGATACTATCAGCAACAGCGTTTTATGGGAGAGGACAAATCAGCTTCCAGCTGAAGAGGAAATTAGGAAAAGACGTTGGAAGTGGATCGGACATACATTAAGGAAATCACCAATGTGCATCACGACTCAATCCCTAACTTGGAATCCGGAAAGAAAGCGGAAGAGAGGAAGGCCAAAGAACACACTACGCCGGGAAATAGAAGCCGATATGAAAAGGATGAATAGCAACTGGAAAGAACTGGAAAGGAAGGCTCAGGACAGAGTTGGATGGAGAATGCTGGTGAGCGGCCTATGCTCCTCGACGAGGGGTAACAGGCGTAAGTAAGTAAGTATTATAAAGAGTAAAATCATACAGTAACATGCCGATTCATCAAATCGTTTTTCTTAAGTGAGGTTGATATTATTTTTATTATCAATTTGACGATAAGGTAACTGCTTTGCTCCAGACATGACAATAAAGCAACAGGAAAATCGTACCTTATCGAGTTAGCTTTCGCTCTATACTACTGTCTTTTTCTCCTGGTCTAGCGTTTTTTTTACCGAAATCCGATAATTGGTGGATTTCTCAAAATATTTTTAACCAAACTACCTTGACATTCATATCGTCTAACTGAAATTAAGTATTCCATTTGAATTATAACTTTTGTTGAACTGTTTTATTTCTCAGCTTTCAACGGCAAATTCACGTATACTGCGATGAAATATTTAAGAGGGGTCCGTTTATCTTCAATGTATAGTTTTAACACATGGATAATTCTAAGAGTCATGGTGATTTTTATGTATCTGAGTCTAACAAATGGTTATAGACGAAATCCCAATTAATACTCTGTCTACTTTTTTGTTTAATCAGTAGTCAACTCAACTTTAAAAATAAAAGAGAGATTATTTGCCTTCTGTACAAAATTTGTCTGGTTTAGTGGGACATCATTTCTTCACAGTTCTCCACGTTTAATTGTGGCACTAGTTCAAATCTAATGGTAACTGGTTTTCATATTGTCTAGTTTTAGTGATGACTTCCTTCATCAATTTTAAATGTGACCACTAATTCAAATAACTGCACATCGCAATACACTTTGCCTCTTTAAGTGGTCACATATCATTATCACTTGCATGAATCACCCAAGGTCAGTTGGATTCAGAGAGTTGTCTTAGGTTCCTGCGAGATTTATTTACAAGTGTTTATAGTAAGTGGCTTTGGTTAAGAAACTCACATTCATACTGGTAAACTCAGCAACAGCAAAACAGACAACCACAAAATAGCTAGTTCAATATGGCCGTAAAGATAGAATATACGTTAACTAATGAGGGAACAGTTATTTTATAGTTAAGCGAATACGTTTGAAGTTGGTTGTTTGATATTACTAATCGATTGAAGTTAAATATGTAAGCTATTGGTTGCAGCTCAGTAGTATAATGGTTAAGCGTTCTTTCGAGAGATTAACAGTACTGGGTTCGTGGATGCAAACTACTGAGGAGTCCCATGCTGGAATGAAATAGCCGTCTGGTGGTTATTTAATTAGGATTAGTTCATGATGTTGACAATGTAACTGACTGTTGTTTTAATTTTGGTGATAGCCTTGTTATATATGTACTGCCTAGTTAAAACCTCCAGTTCACCTGCTTGCTAATTATTTTTAATCCATTATCATATATAAGTACTGTTTAGTATCAGTCTTCCTATTCCTATCTTGAACGACCTTTCAAACGTACGAGTGACATATTTTGGGCATATTTAATCTGTAATCACTGTAAATATTCACTATTTAGCGTATAACATCTAATTCGCTCACAACTTATTTCCGTATTTCCAATTTTGGCCATTGGAATACAATAATTATGGATTGAAAACTGTAGGGCCTAAGTTTATAGATGTCAATGCTAAGGTTGAACTTGATAGTTTCAAATAAATTGAGCCTTAGGTAGAAAGTTTATAGTAAATATATTTTTTGTTATATCCCAATGAGTAGAGAAATCGTATTCCTAACTTTTCGTTACTCAATATAAAACATTTCTTCAGAGCCTGGTGATAAAGTTATCGAAGATAATTATTCTCACAAATAGGCCTTGTCTTTTAAAAAAAATATCGATCCGGCAACGCATAATCTTATTCCTAATCCATATGCCTGTCTGGAAGGGTTCATAAATAAGACAAAGGACTTCATATTGTGTTTTTCCACGATTCATCTAATTATTTAAATATAAATAGTCCGACTCGATAAGATTTGGTTTTTATTGAAATCATAAACCGATCAATGTTAGACCATCGAAAATCTGAAAGCATTAGACGGCTGAATTTATACATTAACACTGTTGGATACCGGGTCAGTGGTTTAGTGCTTAAGCGTTCGTGCGGGATCGTGGATGCACACTTCTGAAAAGTCTCATGATAAAACGAAATTGCCATCCAGTGCGTTCAGATTTTCGATAGTAATCTAACATTAATCGGTCCATGATTTCAGTGAAGCTCGACAATCTCCACAACTCCATACTCAAAAAATTTAATCTGTAATGGAGAAAATTCCTACTTTTGATCGATTTGAAATTGGCTTAGTATTTGTATCTTTCTACTATAGTCCGGCATTACATTTATATTTGATTCGAGGAACAACTTTATTTCAAAAATGATGGTGTTAACAGCTGATTGTGTCTTCTCTTATTTTCTTCTTATGATGTTTTTTTAGCCAGTATTGCACTTAATTCATCTCGTTTCCTAACTCTTCTTAATCATTATATGACTTAAAACAGTAAATATAGCTTTACTTTCTCATTTCCCGTTTTTGTCAATCATTTGATGATAAGAACGATTCCTTGGCTTAATGTAATATATATATATATATATATATATATATATGACGGCAGTAATAATACTGAAATACTATTATTTCTTCAACAGGTACATGAACGTCACTGGCAAACTGATTGTTTATTAGGACTTGTTAAATGTCTTATAGTTGTCCGTCCAAAACTTCGTGTAGTTCTAATGTCAGCTACAATAAATGTTAACACATTTGCTAAATTTTTCAATGATTGCCCAATTATACAGGTAAATTTCTTTTACTTTCGTATTAAACTTATGGTATAAAATAATTTAGAATGAAATAATAGTGGAAATCTATGTAGAGCGAACTAATGGTTTTGATGTTTATTCATTGTTATGACAGGACCTGGGAAGAATGTGTATCGATACGTGTCGTCATACTTCATATCAGCGCGGTGTGCGCATCGTGGAAAATTTCCTGTATTAGATGTAAAAAAAGAAAGATCTAAATATGAGAAATACAGTACGAGGAAATACTGTAGGTAGGAGAGCGAAACTTAAGGAGTGACACTCCATTCATGATTTAAAAGAAGAAAAAGATGAAGAATGAATGCAACTATACCATTATAACTAACGTTGAACCCTGGTTTCAATAGTTGAATGATGTCTTATCCGCATTGTTTGATGATTGATGTTTCCTTTCCACATTAGAATCTATGTTTAGGGTAATATTCATATGGAAGTTTAGAAGTGGAATTTATATTTACTTGTTTGTAACACTTTTGGCTTCATGTTCTCAGGAGGTCGAATGGAATTTACTTTGGTCATTTTAATTCAAAGTTGTTGGAACATGAAGTTGAATTGTCTAATGGAAATCTAAGAAGTTCAATTTCATGTTAAGCCTGCTTCTGACTTGTATTTTAGTTACTAAACTATCTAGTTGAGAAAAAACTACTGAAATGACTTGTTTAAAGTTCTATTCGGGATGTGTTGAGTGTGTGACGGATTCCTGAAGAAGTTCCCAACAAAATATATGCCTGATTTTAGGAAGAAATAAGAATTTAGTCTTTTTCTTGAAGAATTAGAGATTTTAAACTTGTAAGTAAGCGTAAGGTTTCTGGTGATCTCATCTCTACGTTTATTTTAAAAGTAATTGTTTCCACAGTGAGTTTTAAGAAGTGTTTTGCTAAGCTAGATGTCGTGTTTCTGAATTCCATCCTTTATGATGCGTAAACTGGGACGCTACACATTTAGACAACATTCAGTATGGGAATCTTCCGAAAATGTCTATGAAGAATTCGTTTAGTTTATACGTTTTCGAATCTTTATTCTACATACAAAGAACTTTGTGAGTGCTCTTTCCTGCAGACTATGTTACTATCTCAAAAAATCTAATGAACCCTCTTTCATTAAGTTATCTCCTTGCAAGTTATAATCATTTATCTTAGGTTTTTCCAGTTAACATTTTCTGTTTACATATGACTCCTCTTTGTTCACTTTAAACTGGCTTGTCTCCATATTATCCTTACTTTATATATCTTAACACGACCATTCGGGATCATTTCCCTTGCTCATTATTCAATGTTGATTTCTTTAGTCTGTTAACCAAAGTATCTGTGATAACATTTTGCTCACAAAACTTTGTATATGACTAAGTATGAAATGTTAATAGGTTCCTGGACGTCTTTACCCCATCGATTTGCACTACATTCCACTTAGTCCAGTTGAAATTGCCAACACAACTGACAGAATTGATCCTGCGCCGTATATTCGTTTACTAAGACGAATCGACGTAACATATCCTGCTACTGAACGAGGCGATCTCTTGATCTTTTTATCTGGAATGGCTGATATTCAAGTAAGTTGTTATTTTGTTTACCTTCTCATTTCATTTTTCGTGTAATTACAGGTGACAAACAGATTAAAAGCTGCTGTCCATTTGATGAAAATTTATATGAAGTAAATACTAATGAGATAGAAAATTCATGTTGTCATCCATATTTTTATTCTGTCGGTAACATCATATCAGTATCCCAGTGACCTGTTATCACCAACTCAATGCTTATTATGAGATTATTTTAGTTTGGCTCGGAAGCCACATAAAGTTTGACTTATACAAGAACACGAACTACTTATAAGTAGTTTAAAACGGAATGTAAAGTTATTAGATTATGAAGTAATAAAAGCTGTAAAATTTCTGAAAATTCATGATGTGATGTATGATTTTGCAGATGATAACCGGGTTAAATGCCTATAAAACTAAATTGATACTTTATGCGTGAGGTTTCTAACTTAGAAAAGTTAGACTTTGCCGACATTATATTGAATGTAGAAGTAGTTAAATAAACTGTGCCTTTCCAATCAATATTTTTGCTCATTTTAATGACTTTGAAGTTCTTTTCGTTTAGAGGTCAAGGTTCTTCGTAGTATCTTTTGCTTTTTTTAGATACTATCCTTAATTTAGTACAACTGAGCCAAAAATTATTTATTTATTACTTTATTAGCAGTTTAAAATATTTTAGAAACGATTATGTGACTCATAAAACCGTGCATAAAACGTCTCACTTTTTCTTATCTTTGTTTCTCTTTCTTTTTCTAATACCCAAACTGTGATAATATTTTATTTATGCTATTTTCCTTTAAAATAACACGGTTTTAACGTCATTCTGTTTCTTCCTTTCTTTTTTGTTGTGAAAGGCAATAATGGAACCAGCTAAAGCATATGCTGAAGAAACAAAACGATGGATTATTTTACCACTACACAGTGCATTATCTGCGTCAGATCAAGAGAAAGTCTTTCATGTTGCTCCAGACTGTGTACGTAAATGTATTTTATCAACAAATATCGCTGAAACCTCTCTAACTATAGATGGAATAAGGTGTGTTTTACATATTGAAAACTGGTAATTACTATAAAATGTTCTGTCTCGTATCATTTGTACAAATATTATTCGACAGCCCACTTTTTAGAAACATAAATGAGTAGATCAGTCTTGAATAAATCATATCCTATCTATCGTATATAAACGATCTTAATTGGATAACCATTTTTTCTTTCTTGTGTTCGAAAGTATTATCAGTTTATCTCTGGTTGATTTATTTCTGAGATGGCTTCCCCTTACGTTATTTAGAAATTATTCACTTCGATTGTCACCTATTATTGACTGGATCGAGTTGGTGGAGGTCCAAGTAGTTAAAATTTTTCTCTCCCAAGTTCTCAATTATGAACAGCCCTGAACAAATGAAATGGTCATCCAGTTAGCTTTACTAATGCTATTGATTGATGTGTTTCTCATCTATAGGGAGTGCCTGTTATGTTTGTGTTTTACTCTTAATTACTGGAGACAAACATATTACAGCTCTCGACCCAATATTTCACTTCTAGTAAGCCCACACTTAAGTTTTAGAAATTTTTCCATGTGAGCACGTTCCCAAGTTGTGAGGTTTCAAATCATTGAATTATTGATAGGAAGAGCTTGCACTTTCAAAAGATTTATTATATCTTCCAGTATCTGGGAATAAACTGCGAATCGAATTCGAAGAGTTTTATTTTTGAAGAAGCTTTCATGAATACACAAGAAGTCATTATCAATTAATTTTAGCACAGAAAACATAATCCACCGGAAACATCCAATTAAACTTTACATTTTTAGATTATATAGTATCTTCATTATTTTCAATTTGAATTTGAATCGTTTTTTAATATGTGTGGTTCTTTGTTGTCTTTTTTTTAAAACAAACACAAATTTCGTCCTTAAAGATTTGTAGCTGATTCCGGCAAAGTCAAAGAATTGAGTTGGGATTCTAAAGCGCGAATGCGTTGTTTAAAAGAATTTTCAATATCTAAAGCAAGCGCTAATCAACGTAAAGGCCGTGCTGGTCGTACAGGTCCTGGTGTTTGTTATCGTTTCTATACTCAAGAGGATTATGATAATTTTGAGGTAAATGAACCGAACTGATATTTTCTTTGATTTATTCCATTTTGTAGTGTCACGAAATAATAATATGAGTACTTTCTCATACAGTCTATAAAACAATGACTTATTGGTTGAAGAACGTGACTTTGAACCAGTGGGTTTCCAGTTTTACACGTATCATGTGTACTTTGGTTTGTGTAGGCACTTGGTGACATGGATCTGAGATCTACGTATACAGCTTTCAGTTTGTGGAACGAATTGCTTATCGTTTTCTTGTGAATTTTGTTATATCTTATCATGAATAACTAAATTCAGAGCATTGTAACTAATACGTTTTGCGTTGTTAAAATGTTTAACAAAGTAGTAGTTAATAGACAATGCTAATTAATGCTGTCAGAGAAATAGGCTTTTCCTCGGAATAAATAATATATTTATGCATACGATATTAACATCGAAGTAAACATGAATACGTATCATTTAACACTTAGGCGATTGCTGGATACAAGTTCCTTCAGTCGCCCACACATCAAAGACATGGGCATCAATCTTAATTCTTGCCCATTTATTTCACCTCCCTTTTAAACAAAATACTGATGTGAAAGCATATATTATTTTGCAACGCTTGGTATAGATTGATGACTTTAGTTATTTATGAGATGTTTTTTCGTATTCAACAATTAAGTGTCAGGGTATGTGTAAGTCTACACAAAAGTTGAGGAAGAACCGAAATATGTTTATGAGATTGGGACATTTCGTAGATTTCAAATACGGATCCATTCAGGTTCTTTAATCTGATTGATCAAACTCATAAACGTTACCGTCTTCATATTTCTTCTTTCGGGACGTTAAGATCACTTATAATTCAATTAATAACTTTTAATTCGTATTGTTAAAATAACTTCTAAGTCAAGCTCCTGTTGTATTGCCCCCTTTTTATTTTCTTGGGATTCGTAGATTGATGATAGTCTGTAAGTCAAACAAGTAGTCAGTATTGTAGCCTCCCCATGCGTACAATTAAAAATATATAAGGCAGTTACCTAAAATTGATTTTGAGTTATTCAGCTGAAAGTAATTCATCGTAAATCCAGTTGAATTTCATTACTGAAAGTTTTCAATCATATTTCATGTATTTAAAGGCTGTGGAGAAATTACTAACATTTCGTATCACTTATGTCCTCTATTTGTTTTATTTTTAGGCATTTAGTACCCCGGAAATTCGTCGTGTTCCTCTAGAAACACTTGTTCTACAGATGTTGGTCATGGGTTTACCAGATATCAAAAAATTCCCTTTCATTGACCCACCTGAAATGAAATGCATTGATGAAGCACTTGACATATTAAAGGTATGCTTAATCTCTATGTAATTAGTTTATTCAATAATAAGCCAAATTAATTATCCTAGCAATTATCATAGTAAGATTCTAATTAAAATATTTCTTCAATACCATACGTAATCGTTGAAATATCATTCAAAGTTCATTGTAATGTATTCTTACTGAATTCACGCATTATATTTTTTAATTTTAAAAACATTAGTTGTATTTTGTTTGATCTGTCCCACTTTGATATAATTATTACCTTTAACGTTAACGGTTTACAGGTAATCCAGTAAGACTTGATAGTTAAGAGAATGTTTGGTAGCTTGTTAATAGTTTCATCTGGTCAACATATCTCTTGTAATTGTAAGAATTAAAGCGGTGATTAAAAAACAGATGCTAATCGAACCTCCGCAATCTATTTGATAAATTACCCAGTGTTTGAAATTGTGAATCCTGGTTATAAAACTCATTAAGAAGAGAAATACTGAGTTTCATGTATACCTTGCTGACCATTTGTTAAATGTTATAAAGTGTGTTTATAATTGTACAAGTAGCCACTATCAATTATCTGTTTTTTTACATGGTCTGTACTACACATGAATATTAGTTGGACATGGTATTCAGAATCAAAGACTGCTAAACAGATGTTTTTATTTGTTCTAAATGAATGAGTCGAATTCTATCCTTTCCATTAACTAATAGCTGAGTTCGATATATATATTTGTCTAAAATTATCTATATAGGTGAATCATCGGCTGGTAAAGTTTTTACTCATTTACACGGAGTTTGTTTGGCCTTACCAACTTAGGCTGGAGAAAAGTTCAACTGTATATTAAAAAACCAAAGTATACTGCACATCAGTATCAACTTCAATGTGAAACATGTCTCCTTCAGGCAGAATATATGCTTAAGTTGCTAATAATTCGATCATAGACATATTCAAAGCCTTACTGTTATTTAGCAGGTCTACCGAGTAAATAATGTCGAAGTTAGACACATAACACGAGATAAAGGTGGTAAGACAATTAGTGACGCTATAAGCCTTCATCAGCTAAACCAACTAGTGCTTACTCCGACATCCTATGCTGGCTATAAGGTGATTAGATTGGAAGGACGTGAATGATGATTCAAGCTGTATAGCGTGTCAGTTATTGAAACCGATGGTTAGACTGACCTGCCCGAGGAGATACAGATATCTAGGTTAGAGAATTAAGTGCAACACAGCAATACAGATGCCCCCAAATGCCCTGGAACGGCCTCTCGAAATGCTCTCATATGGCCACAAATATACTGCCTCTGCCAGGGAAGTCTTACTCACTTCCTTCTAGCGGCGGGAGTGTTGTTTACGAAATTGAGAGGACGAAAGGCGAATGTCCGGCGCTTCAACCAGGTTGGTGGACGCGGAAGGTCCACCTGGGGGAGTTGGGAAACCCTGATTTCAAACCAATGGTGCACATGGGCTTTGGTACCCTAAAGGAACAAACGGCGTATGAACCAATTATTGGTGACCGGCTACCATAGGACTGCATTTCCTCACGATGCTCCACTGCCTTGTGGATCAAACCTTTAGCTCAAAGGATCGGAAAACTACCTGCTTCGGTCTGGGCACCTGAGCAGTATTCCAGCCCACAGATAAATCAAGTGACTTGTGTGGCGCATATGTATCCGGTGCCTCTTTGTACCAATATTTATATGTTCAAATAAATAAACAAAATAAGTGGTGGAAAATTGATTTAAAAGAAGGTTGTGAACAGATGATAAACACGAAGAAATCACAATGTAAGGGGTGTGGACCCCTAAGAAAACCACCTGCTTCGGTCTGAGCACTCGGGCAGTATCATAGCCCTCACACAAAATGAAATGACAATGATTTCTGGATGTACTACTCACACTCCTTGTGTAGCGCCTATATGTCTGGTGCATCCTTGTACCAATATTTATGTGTTCAAATAAATAAATAAGTAAGCGATACAGCCATTCATTGTTTAACCTCCTCTGGATCTTTAATTTTGACACTACTTCACACTCAACACTCTCCGACTTCATTCATTCTCCAAGAACTATATCTTCTGTTTGTTTACTTTACCATCACCATTACTACTATAATCTAGACTCTCTTACTTTTCATTTTATCGATTTCCTCTCATTGTTTTAGTGTTAAGGTATAGTGAATTGCGTCAATTCTCATTTGTGTTGGGTTTTTTATGTTGTTTATGACTGATTGACTAAATTCTCACGTAATATCTTCCAGTGTAGTAGCATACAGCACCTTTATTAAAAAGGACCAGTAGTGTCATACAATTTCGATTTTTTAAGCCTCTTTTTATTTTATTATCGTTTGTGTTTTATTGTCAGCATTGCCAGAAATGAGTGCTAGAGGTATAGATGTGATGCCGAATATTAAACTTTTCGGCCTTCATTGTGAACTTGGTACAGGTTAATCAGATCCTAACTTTCATCTATGAAAGTATACTGTTGAAGATAGTCAAGACATCTGTGTGTGTAGATCATTCTAAATATCGACTGGGATATAGCAGGCAATATAAGTCTTCGTTTAGAACCAATCTAATGTAGTATATACCACTATGAGGTTACTTACAACTCTATTAAGACTTCATTTTGTTAACAAAATTTATTTATACAATAGTTGCAGGATTAGGTGCTCCGTAATTGAAAATATTAAACAGGTTTTTGTATATATTACCAGTATTTTCATAAGATTGTTTGAGATTGACAGTTGAAAATGGATCAATAATTCTTGATTAATAAAGTGGCACCTTGAAATAAAGCATCGTTTAAATATCACTGATGAGTTTTATTTACATTTTTTGAGTGATTTCATACAGTTTAACTAATTGAATTCAGTAGTCAGAAATTCCCTAATTAGGTTTCGTGTTGGATTAGCACTGATCAGCAAGGTATATCTTCAATCTTAAGGAAAATAATGACCTTGTAGAGAATCAAACCTACACCGCCTATTAGTACGGTCATAGACATTACCAGTGAGCTCTTCAGACCTTTACTAATCAATCTCTTGTGAGACTTAGATGTTCAAAAGAATCGATCACTCTGTATGCATCTATACCACAGACAATCTACTTTATCTCATTTTGGCCTTCACCTTTTTCATATTAAAACATTGCATGTGATTATTTTTTGTTTAATTTTCATGCTATTGTGGGATTCGCTAACTTACATTGTGATTTCTTCGTGTTTATCATCTGTTCACAACCTTCTTTTAAATCAATTTTCCACCACTTATTTTGTTTATTTATTTGAACATATAAATATTGGTACAAAGAGGCACCGGATACATATGCGCCACACAAGTCACTTGATTTATCTGTGGGCTGGAATACTGCTCAGGTGCCCAGACCGAAGCAGGTAGTTTTCCGATCCTTTGAGCTAAAGGTTTGATCCACAAGGCAGTGGAGCATCGTGAGGAAATGCAGTCCTATGGTAGCCGGTCACCAATAATTGGTTCATACGCCGTTTGTTCCTTTAGGGTACCAAAGCCCATGTGCACCATTGGTTTGAAATCAGGGTTTCCCAACTCCCCCAGGTGGACCTTCCGCGTCCACCAACCTGGTTGAAGCGCCGGACATTCGCCTTTCGTCCTCTCAATTTCGTAAACAACACTCCCGCCGCTAGAAGGAAGTGAGTAAGACTTCCCTGGCAGAGGCAGTATATTTGTGGCCATATGTGAGCATTTCGAGAGGCCGTACTAGGGCATTTGGGGGCGGAGTCCATGCATTATGGTAATCACGTACTGACACTGGTTGACCATTTTGAATTTTTACGCAATACTTATTTTTCAAATTAAGATTGCTAACATCTTTCATCTTAACTTATGAACCAAATTTATAAACCAATTGCAGTTCCATATGAATATATTTTAGCAACGTCAAATTCCACGTTAGATGACATGGGGATTTGGCACTTTGCATAAAAGACTAAAAACGATCAATACTAAATACTAACTTAATATTTTATCATTTTGGCTGATTAAAGTACTATTATAATGAAGCCTGTTAGATCGCTTCCAATAAATACACATATTATCAATATATCTGAGCAAACGTGAAAGAGTGAAAATAGTGTTATCTGTTTTTGTCGATTAAAATATCAGTTAATCTTGTTATGTTGAACTTGTTAAAGGAAAAAGTAAAGTATTTAGTGGCATGCACCGAAACAGAATAAACAGGCTAGAAACGTTATTTACGGAATATCAAGTAGAGTTATTGTTGTGACTTTTAGGCCGCTAGTTACCACGTGATTTACTCGTCAATCGAAATACGACTTATCCAGTCTTAGTACTGTGCCAAACCAATGACTTTCGACCGGTATGAGCAGCCTAGCAGCGTCCTTATTGGTCCTGTACTCTCCCGACCCGTCCAGTTGATCCCAGAACGCCAATAACAGCTCCCACTATGCGAATCATTTATTTCAAACATACTGGATTTATATACCAGCCAAACAAACCGCATCACACCATAAAATAGGAAGTAACATTTACGCAAGATCAAGCCAAAAAGTGGCTGTGAACATGGAAGACAGAAATCAATAAACTGTACATAGTTTAAGAACGGTATTAGTCTATTAATAGTGTTCAGAAGTTACCCGTAATTTATTCTTCACTAAGGTATAACGGTTATCCAGATTGATATAGGTAAAATATGATTTGAACTCAGCTATTGATTATTCAGTACATTGATCATTAAATTACAGATTCTACGTTAGAATAAACAATCAGTAAAATTTAATACATATCAGTAGGGTACAAGATGCTCTTTTAATTTTATTTCTTACTCCACAGCTTCATATATTTGAATCACTGTAATATTATCATTTTGTATCAATCTAAGAGCCTACATTTCCGAGAGATTCTATTAAGAACCACATAAGAAACCTCTGTGTAAAAAAATGCTGATTAGTTCAGAAATTTTAGATAAATACAAGAATATTGAAGACAATATCAACAAATTTTAATGTTCGTCTCATTTTAATTTCTCATTTTAGTCACATGGTGCAATTATTCCACAGAATAATGTGTTAACAGTTACACCACTCGGTCAATTATTATCTGATATACCAGTTGAATTTTCAATAGGTCGTATGTTAATTATGGCATCATTATTAAGATTAACTAATCCTGTATTAAGTTTAGCTGCTGGTATGGCTATTCAGTGTCCATTATTACCGTATACAGCTTTCAGTGGAGCAGAACAAACGCGTCGAATAGATGCACTAGCTGAATATGAAAGTGATCATGGAGATGCGTTTACATTGGTCAATGTTTTTGATGAATGGATTAAGGTAGTTTATCTTAGTAACGTATAATTGACAATATTTATTATTTCTTGTATTTATTTGTTGTTGATAATAATTATATATCCTCATTTAATTTCTGACCTTATGGTTAAATAATTGTTAACAGATATTCAAATGGTCTTTTTTATTAATGTTCCAGTCAGTCATGACGTAGAACCTGTACGCATGCACGTCGATTCAAGTTGTCGTACCTCGTTTGCACATAGAGATGAAATTGTCAGGCCAAATCCCACAATAGTAGAGGTAGTAAAAGTATCAATCTTAATAGAAAAGATTAGGCATCGAAGATACGATTCGAAAAGAAAATATAGATTGGTGAATTAAAAACAAAAAAAGTTATGAGGAATTTAAAATCTCAGAATTTGGGTGTAGATGAAGAATGAATGCATCTGCGCCATTGTGAAAGATTTTAAGTTATGTTACCCAAAGTCTCTAACCGTTGCGACAATAACACAGACCCTAACCAGTTAGTCTGTAGGTATTAACATGACTCAATCCAACTATCAGTGACTTCATGAACTGATACCTTGTTTTGATTTGGCATCCCCTGGCTTTCTTCCAACCTACTGCTGTACCAGATAACATCGCCCGTCTATGTAGGCAGTGGTTGGAGATACGTAACATGTTCCAACCACCTCAATTGACTAAGATTTACTACCTCATCAATCGATTTGCCATTTTTACCTAGTACTCTATTCCTAACCCAGGCATTACTTTCTCCGTGGTTCTAATATACATGAGCAATGCTTTGAATACACCTTGATCGAATACTGATAACCTGCGAATATCCTCTATTTTTAATGACCATTTTTCACGCCCATAAAAGTAGAATGGAGCGAACTACTTCACAGTAAACCCGCCGTCTGGTCGGTAGACGGATATCCCTCCTACACCTTAAGTGACGCAATTAGGCAAAGGCCAATCAGGTGTGTGGAAAAGTTGACACTTTCTCCAGTGTACACCTAAAATGTGTTAAATGCTAGTAACTTATCGTATAGTTCATGAAAATAATGTGTAACGAATAGAATCTTGTTTTTTTTCCTACTTGTGTGATAGTTTATAATTTTACATATCCTCTCTTGATGTTTAAGGTCATCCAATAGATAACAGTTATGTGGGCATTGTACCTTTTAGAATTTTTCACGAAGATATCTTAAACTTGAAATAGAAGCAGTGATTTTTATAACTTCAAACCAATAACTTGTCAGAACATCATTATATTTCGTTTTTTTATTTACTACCTTGTCACTGATTTTGGAACCACGTTTTTACTAACTTTTCTATGTGAACTCTTGTTGCGATCTACGACATTCGATTCAAATGCACACACTTCCCATACTTTTTCCCAAGCAGCTGTGTGAGTGAGAAGACAAAAATTACTAGGAAACTATAATTCACAACGAATATTTAGGTACACAGATCATTGCCATACATACATTTATCCTTCTGATCCAGACAAGGATGTGTAGGCTGAGATATTGAATAAGAGCACAATCAACTTCCTCCAATAATGTTGTGTGTGTAATTTTACATCCGTCATTTGGCCTTGAGGCAGAATGTAAGCACAAGCCGTGGATAAATCCAGACTCTTAACTTTATGTATTTGTCAGTTGAGTTTCAACTCCGATGCACTTTCATGCAGTTACGTTTGTTAGATTTAATTCTACGATAAGAAGCAAATGAATCGAATTTCTACAAAAGAAAGGCCATAGATATTATGATTCGGATAAACATAAATGACATTATCTAATAAATGTGACAGTCAATCCGGGGTTGGAATTACGTTTTAACTTATAATTAGAGATGAAATATTTGGTTCTCATTTTCGGACCTAATATTTGTTTAAGGAGTGTCGAAATATTCTATTGGAATAAGGCGTGTAAATATACATATAGATTTACTAAAATTATATATAAGATTACAACCTGGTCATTGACTGACAGATTAGTTTATGCCCTGTATTTTGAGTTAATTATTCTATTCGGTAATCGAGTAATCCTAACATTAGCAAACTAATTTAAGATATAAGATTTGACTAAAATTGTCATATTAACTCTAAAATAATTATGAAGTTAGATTGGAACTGGAAATCTTAACGGAATATACGTTTTATAAATTCTATCTTATATGAATTCAGTTCATGTTAAAGTACTCTGTTGTTGTATATTAGTCGATAAGTTGACTATCGCTTTGTATAATTGATGTTTTTTCTGAACGATCTTTGTTATTACGACACGATTGGTTTGATTTAATTTCTGAAATGATTATTGCAACTAAATTGATAATTTGCTCATGGACACCGTCAGCCAAATCATTGAATGTGTATTAAATTATCAAATGTAATATAAAAAGTATATTGAATCAATAGGGTGTGATTATTTGTCACTCATCAAACGACTAATGATTGACCAAAGATGGGAGTAAAGTTCACAGAAGTATTAAGGCTTTTGTAGATTATGTACAGTTTAATGGTCACAGACAGTTTAACATGAAACATTCCCCGTAATATCTTTCGCGTTTCTACCCATTGTCTTCATATTCAAGATTATTGTCTTAAACGATAAAAACATGATGGTTCAACTTGTTCAATCTTAAAGAAGATAGTGAAAAACACTCAAAATAACCTTGCTGTATTTATTCCATAATTCATTTTTCAGTGTGAATTAACGCTTTTTGATTACAATCGTTTTTGCTGTAACCATTAGATGAAATCAGAGGCGACTGGTCTTATTAAACAAGATCATGAATTAGACGAATTTGATAATGATAATAATGATAATGACAAAGGATGTACAAACATTAAACGATGGTGTCGTCGTATTGGAGCACAACAGCAACGTCTTCATGAAATGGTCCGATTACGTAGCCAATTCGCACAGTTGCTAAAAGACAGCGGTCTTCTTGATAGTAAATCCACGGAATCTGATAAAAATCCATCTAGAACACAACACTTTAAAAATTTAAATTATGCAAGACGTAGTGAACGAATGAAATCTAAACGACGTCGACTTCTCACTTTACAAGATAATGTAAGTACTGTTATTTGTCTGTGTTATTGCATAAGGTCGGTTATTCAATGCTAAAGGCATTTGACTCTCAACCACTAGGCCAGATATCTGAGCTACACTCCATCTATTTCAGGTATTATCACTAAATTTCGTACATAAAATGTGTCTGAACCTGTACTAAGTCACATAAATGAACCATTGGTTTCATTATTAAAAATTAAATTTTTATATTTTATGTTTCATATTCTAACTCACTCCGCATACTTTGTTTGGGCAGTTGGTTGTTATCGCTAGCTATCGCTTAAAGTTGTTTGACTAGATGCTAAGATCATGCATGAGTACTTTGACACATGAGAAAGAAGCCGTTTTCGGACCGATTCTATGCAGTAATTTGTAGGTGGATTTATTCGACTTTTGTACTAAAGGTGACGACCTATTAGTTGAGACATCTGGCTTTCAATTAGTAGGTCACATGTTAGAGTCCCGCTTCATGCACTTTTGCTTAGGCATCTGGGCAGTATCACTATTCACCACATAAATTGTGACTTAAAGTCTATTGCACGGTTCTTTACTTGTGAACTGAGTTACATAAGAAACACTAACCAATGATTTGTAACTACTTTTTATTCATATTTGTGTCCCAAATATGTATGTTATTCAGTAGAAATAAAGGAATAATTATTCAAATAGATTATGATGAATGCTAGTTTCAAACAAAATTCACAAATAACATTATAGACCGACATTATCGAAGTCTCTTGTAAAAATTGTTTTAACACAGTTTGATCTTTAAAAAACCCTGTTATGCATGTACAGGTGTATAAATTAACGCATCTCTTCATAGTATTTGCAGAATTAACCAAAGTAATGAAGAAATTTTCCATAACCTGAATACCGAATAAGTTTAGCTTATCAGGTGATTATTAACATATTATTTGAAAGTTTCAGTTTTAAAAAGACATTTCCGGTAGAGTTATATCATCTCAGCTAGATGGTTTAATTGCAGAGCTTTCATTATCATTCGGAACAACATCCTCAAGGCCTACTTCAAGTGGAAGTAAGGTGTTTCATTATTATTTAAAGGCCTCATCAAAACAATCCGTTCTGGTGGCTTTGGTTGTGATTGGATTTCCCCGCTATCGTTATTTTGTCCTCTTCTCAGTGACTTTTTTTACTGGGTTGCCCTCTGAAATGGTGATTGATTAATCCTTCCTGCATAGATTGATAGATGTGATGTATGTTGATACCACTTATTCTTTGCAGATTGGTATGAGCGATATCCTTCTAGGAATCCTGTGACATTTCTCCAGTTATTCGTTTCCACAGTTGTCTAAGTACGTCGGTATAAGTGTGTACATCTTGTATTGTTTAACTTCATAAAATAAAATTATTGTGTTGGATTGAAAGTAACAGACTGATGCGTGACTTATAAAATGATTTTTAAAAATTGTTCTTGACTAGTCACTGATCATATTGTCCTGAATGACAATGAAAGCTTTTCAATTAAACTGTCTAGGCTGGTGAACATAGAACCACCAAATGCTTATACTGTGAGATTATAGTGTAGGAAGGAGATTAAAACAACCGCGATGAATTTTGAGCTATTTTATGGCAAATTAGAAAATAGCTTTTACAAATGGATAGTTTATGGAAAAGATATTACGAAGTGTATACAGATTTTATGCAATTAACAAGTTCATTCTTGTTTTCTACAGGTTTTTTCTGGATGTAAACAAAAAAACAAAGACATATAAACTCGTCCCGATGGATATAGATTGTCTATATTTTCCGACCCTTAAAAGGATCCAAACAGATTTTTAAGAGTCCCTAATTTTTTAGTAGTTAAGGTTAGGACTAGCGGTTTGAGTCTATGGTTTGCATCACAAATTGACATCAGCTATAATATTACAATGGTGAGTAACTGTATAGATCGATGTATTTCACTCAAAAATATGAGAAGCTCTGTATGATCAATTTATCCATAAAATGCAGTATCATCAGGTCTAGGTTTGTTCCAGAATTAAGAATTTTGAGGTTATGATTTTTTAGGGTCGTTTCGATTTACCTTTTATATATAATCTAAAGGGAAAGAATTATGCATTTGATCTGTTTAAAAATATCATTTTTACCCTCTTGTTTCACAGAATAATTTTCCGCTATTATCTTCAATATTTTGAGAAGCATTTAAAAGTATATCTACTGCTCGTTATACATGATATTTTAATTTCACGCGAGAACCTAAAAGTCGCATTCTCTATTCTGGTTAACTCGTTCTTAAAGTATACTTTCACCAGTATTCCCTTAGGCTAGAAGTTACCACCATTTCAAATATATAGTTTTTGTTTGCTTTTGCTAGTTTGATCCCATTTCATTGTAGTATGCATAGTTATTTCCTTTCAATCCACATTATTCATAATAAAGCGTTGCGAAATTAAACACACCTTAACAAAGAATATTCTTTTCAGTAAATTCTCTTCATGTTTTGTAATCATTTATCCAAATTAGTAATCGGAAAAGTGGTCAGGTTTAAGGCAAGTTTCACAATCAAATTAGCGTTAGTCCAAATCATTCTTCAGCCATATATATATTCAGAATGTGGTATATCATTTATTAATGGTCTATAGGATTTTGTTTACTGTTTGACAATATTCAAATGGTTAATTTTATCATAACTTATGAAGTTTTTGACACCTTTACATTATGACTGATATCGTATGGAGGAGCATAGGACAGTACTGATATGGGTTTGAATCCAATTTGATTATTAGATGCCGGATGAACAATAATGGTATAATAAGATTCCGACGATATTCAACAACGCACACATGAGAATAATAAGGGTTTTTAGAAATGAGTTTTTAATTTCTTGAGAAAAAGGCGGTTATATTAATAACGGTACTTATTCTATCCTGTTTATATGACCTTAGAATGGAAATACTAAAATGGTCCAATGGAAAGGATAGTTAATGTGAAGTAATCAATTGCAGAAAATAATAATCATAACACCATTTAGCTCGTAAATGTAGTAATATTAATAACTTTTTTTTCCAAATAGTCTCAACAATGACAGTGTCATTTTTCATAGACCATCAACGTGAAATCTATGGTTCATCCTCTTCCCAAAGTCTAACTAGCAAATGTTTCGATAATCTTTAGTACATAGTACACTGTAACTCGGATTCACCTATGGTATTTCAACATGACGGTTACTGTATCGAATTATTTTTAATTTCCTTTTTCCAATAACATTCATTACATCGCTTCTTTTTACTTTAATTTTACAGTTGAGTGAGAACTCAGAATCTGAAAAAGAAGATCATGTGGAAAGTGATTCATCTAAGTTGCGTAAATGGTTATGTGCATCGAGTCGTTCATCAATCAATTCATCAAATGTACCTGTACAAGATTTAGAACTAGTATTATGTTACAATCTGTCATCTTTAGCACAATCAGCCAATATTCAACAAAACATGACACAAGCTGATCTTCAACTGTTAAAAGTTGTATTAGCTGGTGGTATGTATCCTCAGTTGGCTATTGGTGATTCAGCCAACGCTTATCGTGTTGCTAATCGTGGTGGTACGGCTGGAGCTGGTGCTGAAATGGTCTTTCATACTAAAGTGAATGTTTGTTTTTGCTCATGAATATCATATGAGAAGCATACCACCTGGTTGACATTGTAGTATATATATATATATATATCCTTAAGATAACTAATCTGAGTGATAAGAAATGTTTAACAAAATACTAGAAATGTAGTCAATTTATTAAAGAGTATTTAAACATATTTGTCTCTTGGATGCTAGTACATGTGGTCAAGAAGTTGACTGAGTTTTCCCTTGCATGTTAAAGATTATTCTAAAGGATTTAAGTTGCTGGTGTTTTGGACGTTTTAAGTTTTTTTCAAGCAGCAATTATGTAGGATTATACTAAAACTAAGCTTACTAGTGGGCTGCCTATTTTCCTCCACGAGAGGTAATAGTGTAATTAAGTATATACAGTTACTCATTGTCAGGATAAATATCAATCGTGACAAAAATGCAAAATTAAAGTAGATAAATTTTGTTAGGAAAAGTAGAAGAGAAAAATTTTTGTCGATAATAATCAATTAGCTACAAATCGGTTACTCAGTCAAAAGTTCCAAAAACTGTCCTAGTTATGTATACGTTGGTATTCATAAATTATGTTATGGTTTAATACTTTATGGTTATAATAATATGAAATCAGAATAGCATGGTTTAGTTTCAATCGTTGTATGACCTTGTGTTTGATAGGATGCAAACCTCTGTGGTTCATCGATTATGTGGTATAAAAGACAAAGTCTCGAAATAGGTTTAAAAGTCCATCTGAATGTGATTTAAACGAAACATCCCTTCTACCTATCAAAAGTCTGGTGTATTGTGCAACAGTCTAATCTATTTTACTTCGTAGCTGTGAAACGAAGTTTTTTACAGTAGAAGACATGTAGTAAGTAACTAGTTTTTTTGATCATAAATATCATTGAAATATTGTTCATATTTGATAGGACCACCTACTGACTGATAGTGTGGTTAGGAGCAAAGTGGATGTCGATCTTTACTTTATCAGTAGCCCCCTAACTGCCTATTTGACGTCCGGAAAATGATTGAAAACCTTGGATGATAGGTATCGCAATAAATCACTGGCTCAGATACACCTATTTTTTATATTCCCGTAGATTTTCAGTTTCAATATGATTCGATACTTTTTATCACCTGAAGTCATGATTTTATTTAGAATTGTATTCCCTATGTTTAATCCTTTCTGGTATTATTTTCATACCTTTCGAACTGTTCATTTAAATTTAATCTCTCTGTGCTTATTTGATGTATCTAACTAGATCGATCCATATCTATGTCTCATCTTACGCTGTTTGTGACTGATTAACTCAATTGATTACGTCAAGTTCATATTAAACTGAAGAAAAACATTAATTAACAAATCTTTTTCTATTACTAACACTTGGATTTGTTACTGTTTTTGAGAAATAATATGTCTACCTGGCATTGTTCATGTTCATTAGTTAAAAATTAAGCATGTTGAAAATTTTCCCACTATCTGGTATATTAATTTATCGATTCTTTTTCATGAAATGATATATTTTGTTTTGCGATCTCATAATTTTGAAGTTCTTGTGTTATTTGAGCTGGGTGAAGCTTTTATTATCTTCCTAGACAATATTATCAATCTATACTTCAATAAGAAGTGAGCTATTATAATTTGTCCAGGTCAATAGAACAAACCGTTAGTCAGTTGTGGCTAAGTTATAATCCCTTACTTCTTATTGAAATGTATGTCGATTATGTCGTCTAGAAAGACAATGAGAGCTCCACAACTAAACCATTCAACTCAGAGAACGCAACACCTTCATTTTGATGAAGTTTTATTCTCCATCAAAATCATCCGCCTGAGTTACAAATCTTCTCACAAGACCTTCAAAATTATCATTCTATGTTACAAATATTCCTCGTCGTTTATTCAACTACTTTTTTTCTATTCTATTTTAGAATAAAGGTTTTGTTACACTTCATCCAAATGATGTATTTGTTAGAAAACCAGATGTGTTATTTCCTGAGCGTAATTTAAAAAAACGGAATAATAATCATCCAAACGTGTCAAAGGTACAAAAGTCACAAACATCATTATCAAATAAAAATCCAAAACAATCAAGAGATGATGATTTTGATGATGAACAAACAGAAGAAGAAAATATTCCTGAAGTTTTACCATCTGGTTTTGCATACGATCATCAATTACTTATGTATCTGTAAGTTGATAGTTGTTTTTTTAAATGAAAAAATGTTAAAATATGATTATCACTTGCATTAATATTATCATCAGGGATTTTTTAAACAATTTGCAACAACCCCAACAATAGTGATCGGTTATTTTACTTACCCCTTTTCGATTATTTATGCACAGTTTTCAAAGTAAATCTGATCTTGAACTAAGTTCTATTGTAACGAGTCTCTCATATTGTACGAGCATTCCATGTACGTAGATAAATGGTTTCTCTGGTTGTTAGAAGGGACATCAGCCTCGTGACTTCCGAAGGAACTTGGCTTTCATCATGAGGCGTCATAATTCTTCCTTCAACTTTCATGACAGAGTTTAAATGGTTTGAATAATTTTTCTGGTTATTGTTTTTTTAGCGAGTTGGTTTTCTACAGAATGGGGTCGCTAACCTCATACCCAGCCCTCCTCCTTTAACCGGGCTTGGGACCTGCAGTAGACCCCGAAGGTGCTACAGGTGTAGTTATATTCATGTTTTAACCATATGAATTCAGTATAATGTCACATTTGTTTTTTGCGTAACAATAATTAACATTCTATGTATAGAATAATAATTGCAAGTTGATTTTTTTCGCTATTATTATCGTTCTAAATAGTGAATGCTGACATTTGTGGTTATTCCATTGTGAACTTGATTCGAACCTTGAATGACATCTTGAAATATTTCAAAAGTCAAATGGGATCTGGCGAACTATACTCGCTGATAATTAACTGTTCCATCTATATCGACCTACTGAATTACAGTTAGTAGTATAATTGTATTTTGCTAATTTCCAGTTCTGCAGATCTGTGATACCAATTAAACAGAGTAGTCAACACTTTTGAACATATTAACCTGTCGTTAAGTAATAATCTGTTTAAGGTTACTCAATCCTTTATCAGGTTCTAAACTTCTTCAAAATTTATTTTCATATCATCTGTAGTCAAAACTTGAATATTCGGATAAAAGGTATTCATGTGTACTCATCTTTTTATGTGACGTTATACTTAAGATGTACTTTCCATCATTAATTGTCTTTATAAATAGATACATGTTATTCAACTGATGTATTCTGTGTATAATAGAAATTTAGCAAACCCAATGTATTAAAACTGAAGGTTATTTATATCTAGATTCGAACAGTCTGCTTTCATCACTGAATATTATGTTTAAATACTTCTCCACGTATATTAAGTAATTTTTAAACGGGATTTGTGAATTTCAATTTAGTGATTGTTTATCTAGAATGGAAATACATCTGATAGCTGAAGTTCTTTTAGCTTTTAGAAACAAGAATTGTGAATAAAGTTCGTAATTATTACGATGTTCACGTATACGTGAGTAGTCCTATTGGTATTTTCATTCACATTCTCACTATGAATGATATTACACTGAAATGGTAGTTTCACTTTTCACACAATTTCTTTGTTAGCTTTTCTTTGTGTGTGATAGTAACCTCCTTTTATTCATCATTTGAGTTCAACATATTTGATGTTTACGTGTGTTCTGTATACAATGTAATATAAAGATTATCTATGTATGATGTTTGTTTTGTTGTATTGGTTATAAATTCCATATTTGTTTATTGATGAAATTGTACAGTTTTCAAAGGAGAATTTACCACATTTATAAGCATTCATATATTATCTTCAGCATGACTTCCTAGGATCTCTAATTATTAATATATTTTATCACACAAACATTCCACAAATTTATGTTTCGTATAGATTTTATTATGAAGTATCATTAAAAAGTTAAAAACTAAAGAATTTCAATAGCTAGAATTCATGAGTGTTGACCTAAATTAGACCACCAGGTTCATGATTTCAATGGTGGTCTAGCTTAGATTGACTCATAAATTCAAATAGTGAAATATTTAGAGTTACCGAATTTGCCGATATTTTCAAGAATTAATCAGCTGATATCCTCTCATGATAAGGCATATCTTTAAATTTATCAAATAATCTAAACAACGTTATATTGATTCTTCTTAAAATACAATATTATAAGTATATTTGAACTGAAATTTTGTACAGTTCATTAGAGGATATCACTGATTTCAGTGTAAGTAACTGTCAGTTTTATGGAATACATGTGATGTAAGGATGTTTTTTTTTTATTATTTACATTACTTAAGATATAAACGTAAGAGTATAATTTTTATTTTATTTTTAACTGAAGTAAATCTTTATATTTCGAAGAGCTATAGCAACATATATATCAAACCTGTAGAATGATGTAAATTTTATTTTTAATCACCTTATTAAATTGAAGCCTCCAAATGCCCTGGTACGGCCGAGAGTGGGAAGAGTCCGCTCCCTTTCGAAATGCCTTCACATGGCCACGCGTATATAGCGACTGCCAGGGAAGTCCTACTCACTGCCTTCTCGTGGCGGGAGTGTTGTTTGCGAAATTGAGAGAACGAAAAGCGAATGTCCGGCGCTTTAACCGGGTCGGTCGATATGTAGGACCCGCCTAGGGGAGTTGGAAAATCCTGATTCCAAATCAATAGTGCACATGGGCTCCAGTATCCTGAAGGAACAAACAGCGTATGAACCAGTTATTGGTGAGCAGTTACGATGGGACTACATCTCCTCACGATGCTCCACTACCTTGTGGATTAGGCCTTTAGGTCAACGGCTCGGGGTGTAAATCCCTAAGAAAACCACCTGCCTCGGTTTGGGCACCTGGGCAGTATTCCAGCCTTCACACAAATCATTTGGTTTGTGTGGCGCATATATATTCGGTGCTTCTTTGCACCAATATTTATGTGTTTAAATGAATAAATAAACAAATTATTAAATTGAAATGGAATTTTCATAGGAAGTTAATATAAAATCATTTACTCGCTTCAAAGAAGTAAAACTGACTAAATATTATTGATATTGTTCTATTTACAATCTGTTTTCATGAAAGTTATATTAGTAGTTTGTAAACGCCAGAAATTTCGCTTCCTATTATTCAGGATTTTTTTTTTGTGTGTGAAGAATTTTGATACTCTATAACTTGGCTAAACATAACTAAGCAAAACAGACATGTATATCCTTCGCTTTATTATACTTTCTGGATCTACTATTGTTTGTTAAACGTGACTATTAAACTATTGGGTTGTAAAAATAAATTACAGACCGTTTCATAAATTGAATAAAACAATTCATTATTGTTGTAACTAACATGCATACATACACACATACATACAATATTTGTCAAATTAGTATAAAGAATTGTATGTTGAACCTTCTTCATATTTTATAATTGATCGATCGATTATTGTTATTTCGGAACTTTTAGTCTATAAAAATCGGTGATATTATTAGGGCGGAGTCAACATATGAACGTCGAGTCTCTACCTATCTCTTATTTTCTTCACAGATTAATTCAATGTCCTGACAGGTATTCATTCAACAACAAAAAAAGACACATATGTATTGGTCTGTCTATCCACTAATTCTTTATTATTGATAGTTCATGTGTCTTTATAAATTTAATGTACACAAACCTTTACTTGTGTATGTATATGTGCTAACAAATAAAAACAACAGAGAAAGTCTGTGGTTGAATTTTGTTGACCTGCTGATTTTCAAATTGTATGTCATCGATTTCTGTAGAAAAAAAATCAATTCTAATCAGGCCGTTTAAAGCCCGGTCCAATCAACATGTAGGTTAGTATCAATGACATGAATTCTAGCCAAAAATTACTATAGTAATAATAATAATAATAATAGTACAGTTAGTGATCATCGTATTCTTGCTTGATTCTAGATTCTCATATTTGATTACATTTGCTACTTAGGTCTTTTTGTTTTGTGATATTGAGTTAATTGTTCATGATGCTCAACTATGTATTAAGGTGCTTGACTTCATGATGAACTAAATATATAGTTCCTTATAATATGTGAATGTTCTCCGTTTATAAGAAGTTAGATGGTTTTCACTAAACTGGTCATATAATGATCATGTTCAACGGATCACAAAATGAATAAGTAGAATATCTAAATAGTTAAATGCTAAAAAATGAACTGACTTTTGTGATTCTATTTACAATTTTCTCACCTACAACTGATAAGGTTACCACTGAGTAGGTTTTTCTAAGTAGATATAGTTAAAAAATGTTAAGGATATCGTCAGTCAAACCAAAGAAAAATAAACATAATCAACTATCTAAACCAATTAGATAAAATAGATTTATACAAATATGTGATGAAAGGTTATATTCAGTTTTCACTTTTTCTGAATTTAAATTTAATACAGTTAACAGTTTAAAATATCGTTAAAATATTCTAATTCTGTCACCTCATAGTAAAAATCTATTGAACTATGCATTAATGTTCTCTTTATGGTTCTATATAAACTGAAATAATCATAAATCTACAAAATTATAAAATTCTTATTCTTATCAATTCAATGTATTGTTATTAATGATGATTTGATAGTAGAGTTCTTGAAGTTGGCATACATTATGTGCGCACAAATAGATAACAACAAAATAACTAAACTAATTATAGTTACACGTTACTAGCAAAACACGACTAATTTTCTTACCATTTCAATGTCTTCAGTAATAATTCTTGTGATAGAATTATGCTTTATTCCACCAATTCTGGTATGTTTCCGAATATAGGTGAGCGGCTGGGGATGAACTCCACTTTGTCAAGTTATCCAATGGTATCGTAGTCGGTGATTACGATTAAGTTTTCGTTTATATAGTCACTAAATAGTAAATATTTTAGAATAATTCCTATTATAGAGTTATTTGAAGGTATGACTTTTTCTATGTAATTTTTCTTCCATCCTGACTGACTACTCTACACTTGACCCATCCGTAGCATGATGGAATGGTATCTTCGTCGTAGTAAACTACATTTTTCATGTAAGCCAGGAAAAACAACGGATAACGAAACACGCCTTCTATCATGGATTACGATATTGTAAATAAGGAGCTCCGCTTGATTTTGGTTGGTTACCAGGTGCAAGGTCAAAATTACAAATGAGAGTGGAGTTTATTCTCACCCAGATAACCACAGTATGTAAAGTACACAAAATCATTTTGATTCATTTTCACTCTATTTGCCAAAAAACTTTAAATATTTTCTTAAAAAGTACAATTTAGATTATCGAAATAGAATATTGGTTCTTGTTTTGACAAATAACTACTCTGAAATCATTGTCAAAGCTATATTTCTTTCTTAATGTACAAGTTGAACTCTTGAAAATAGTGATGCCATTGATTAATGAAACTTTTTTGTAAAAAAATATAGGTTTATGTAATCAATTTTAAGCCTCAACAGTTTATGTATGAAGTAATAACGTCCGGTTGTCTAATCTACAATGGCCAAAGTAGAATTCGAACATGTAGTATACTAATTGGAAAGTTTATCACTCTATATATTAAGTTGTTTTTCAAACTGCATGAGCAGATTTAACAATGAACTGAAAAATATACCATATTTTGTGCATATTACATGACATAAATTCAATAGTAAAAAGGACAAAATGAATTTAAACTTCACCCCATTGCACAAGCTAGTGGCTATCAGGACTCAGTAGCTAAGTGGATAACGGGATGGCGTTTGAAGCGAATGACACTGGGTTCGAGTTCCGGAATGTATATTAACTGTGAGATGCAGGTACATCCAACTGACGAGTCCCAAATAGGACGAGACGCACGTCCTGTATTCCGTTGCTAGCCAACATACACATTTGTTTATAATGCTTGTGACTCTATGTAATACCGAGGCAATCCGCACAGGATGCGCATATGTTAATGTAAGACTGATCAGTAGCAGTCATAAAAGTCAATGGGACGATTCAATTTAATAGTACACAATGAAGGTAACAAAGACAGTTTAGATGATTTTTTATAATATTTAATTTAAACAATGTTCACTGCATTAGAACACAAATTCCATATCGTTTTGTTTTTTAATATGTGAGTAGTGATTAAAAATGTGAAACATTTTTTAAAAGCAAATACTACTATTACGAATTTCAGTGGTTTCAATAATCATTCACTGCACTTTCTTCAACTAAGTTTTATCCCATTAGCATCAACATATCTAATAAAATGTGTAAATTAATAAAACCAGGTATATAACATCGTACCTGATGACCAAGTTCGTTACATTCATTGCGACGTAAGATTGATTTATGTCATTTCTTCAACAGGAACTATTTTTTGGAATGTCACGAATCACTTAGTTCTATATTTTCTTTATCAAACTTGAAAACCTTTTCTTGAGTATATGCTTTCAAGCTCATGATGTATATAATATAATTGAAAAAAGCATCATTTTTCTACGTGCATATTTGTTGTAGATACAGTTGTCAATAGTCCTACTTTATATATACTTATCCCTTGATAATGCTAAGTTAAGTAAGAAAAGAACAAAATATGTGAAGTGAAATGAATTCTTTATATATATATATATATATATATATATATATATATATATATATATATATATATTGTTGATGCTACTCACAAGGATGTTTTTAAGTAGTATGTATCGGAACGTGGCATTGAAGTTGTAACAATTGTCAGACAGAGTGAACAGTACAGTGTTTGCAGAACACTTGGAGACCAGACGAGAAGATATTTCAGATGGCAGAATGCACCGAAATATGCGAATGGACGATTGAAGGCTATATATGTATATCATATAACTTCCCGCAATAAATACACATTCCTCCTGCTTATTTTCGTGTTTTACATGTATACCACCGTATTTGATTGCAGTTTAACTTAAATTGTCTTTGATCACATATCTGTTACAATCATACTGGTGCATACACTATGGTTTTCTTTGTTGTTCCATTTCTCGTTATTCACCTTTCTCGTATGAATATCATCTCACTGATTTGATAGGCTGATACATGATTATATCAAATCTCATGTGATGCGCGTTTAATGCCATTTGACTATCTAGTTGATCTGAATAAGATTATTCAGGGTTTTTTGAAAAAAATTATTTGGTTTTTGAACTTATTAAATTTGTCACTTTGAAATGATTTTCTATTTATTTATTAATAATAATTATATTTTAGGGATTTGATGGAAACAACTAAACCTTTTCTGGTAAATACAATACGAGTTCCAGCATTACCGACTTTGTTATTATATTGTCGGGAAGTGGATACAAATTCTGACATTTCAAGGTTTGTAACGAGTGTAAATATTTTCAAATCTTATTATCATTAGTAGTATTACTAAAATGATGGAGATTTTCACTTTGACTGGTATGCTTTTGGTGTTGTTCAATTCTGTAAGCTAGATGATTCGGTTACGAAACTTTAATTGTCGATCTTGACAACATCAACACCTACTTTAGGTAGTTGTCCTACAAGCGTTAAGTCAGTTTATTCTGGTGGCATTGTTTGTGATTGGTTGGTCTCATTGTTCCTTGTATTCATTTTAACTATCTTGTTCGGTTGACCTCTGACCATATGGTTGATTGACCTTTTTCATATGGGTATTGATATTATTGTTAATATAAATAAGTATTAGTGATTATATATATATATATATATATATATATATATTTATATAACATCAGTTCTTTGATTTATTTGGAGTCTATGAAAGTGATGTATCCATGCCGAAGCATGATTAAAAAAAAATGGTTATCATTACATAGACCTACCCATGAAAGCTGAAGTAAAAGAAACAAGAATTTTTTCAACAATATGAATGAAGATGTACTTTATTTATTTATTTAAACACAAACATTGGTAAAAGAAGGCACCGAATATACATGCGCCACACAAATCATTTGATTTGTGTGAAGGCTGGGATACTCCATGGACATCAAAACCGAAGCAGGTAGTTTTATTAGGAAGCCCCATCCTGAGACTTTGACCTTAAGGCCTAATCCACAAGACAATGGAGCAACGTCAGGTGATGCAGTCCCATAATAGCCAGTGAGTAACAATAGGTTCATACACTATTTGTTCCTTCAGGATCCTGGAGCCGATGTGCACTATTGATTTGGAATCAGGATTCTCCAATTCCCCTAGGTGGACCCTCCGCGTCCACCAACCTGGTTAAAGCCATGGACATTTGCCCTTTCACCTCCCAATTTCGTAAACAACACTCTCGCCGTGATAAGGCAGTGAGTAGAACTTCTTTGATAATGGTTGCATACTCGTAGCCATGTGAGAGCATTTCGAGAGTGAGAGCGGACTATTCCCACCCTCGGAAATACCAGAGCATTTGGTATCGAATGAAGATGAGATAAGTCTGTTGCATAACAGGTCGAAAGTATTTTAAAGGGAATAGGAATGACTATTCCCAAGTTTTATAAAACAATCTTTTTATGACTTAAGTTTATGTATTCATTGGACAGACTTAATACATTCCAAATCTAGTTTTTCATATCGCAAACTAACTGTTTCAACTACACTTACTGATCGAAAATTGTAGTAAACATTTGCCTATAATTATATAGTGGATTACAAGCGGTTACAGTTGAAAAGAGAAATTTCGATAATTTATTCTGATACTATCCACTTGTGTATTTTTCTATAGTTGACATCGCCATAACCTTGAAAACTTGGTGCATGTTTTAACTCCTATTTCTAACTCATTATTAACCTATCAGCTGTGAACTCTATAGTTTTCGAGTAATTGAACGTAGATATGTGACTTAGTGGTCGTCGAATCACGTTCTAAATTGTAAGTATTGTTTTGTGTAATATGAAAGTAATTCAACCTTAGAAACTTCAAATCTGTTTATAAACTTTCGGATACCTATAAAATGAGAAACTACCACATACATTCAAGTTTCATAGCTTTTTCAGAGACAGATTTTTGTATTTAATTATCTGCATATTCATTAGCCAATAAAGGGGCATAACAGTTCCTGTTTCTCTCAATTTCAGTAATGATGTAATGTACCTTTACCTAAGTTCATAGATGGGAAGCTATAAACTTTAGAAGCAACTAATTACAATTTAATTTGAACTACTCAAAATGAGAATAATTTTTTATCACAACTTATCTAGTAATGAAAATTATAAGCGGTTAGATTATTTTTCTCTAATTAATCACTTATGGTGTATACTACAAATCATAACATGTGTATAGAACAAGTGTACATATTTGGGACAGAGATATTTTCATACTATTATAATACATACTAATAGAATACTATTTAATTGGTAATGAATTGTAATAAAAGTATTTTTATCATTTCCATACGTACACATTAGAACGTTTAATTTAGCAATATTTACCCCAGTTACTATCCCTTATTCGTGCATCAATCAAATAATATCAATGACAAATGAGATATCACTAGTGTTTTTAGGGGATTGTTTGTTTACTACCAAATCTCAAAGAAAAACAAAAATAATCATGTGAACAAATGTTGTTTATCAAAAATATCACTCTCTCTCTCTAGTCATATGAACTAAAGTGTGTTCTATTAGCTTTCTTTATTGTTTACAATAATGATAGACACGTAATCACAATTATAGACTTCAATAATAATAATGATATATGGATTGGCATAGTGATAATAAAATCTATGAGAGTCATAGTACATCATTATGGCTATTAGGCACACAACCTATTCAGGTGCGTTTCTGAAAACTGTACAACTTTTCGCTGTAAAGGTTACAAAAGGCCTAATCAGAGATATCGTGTTTGCTGGGAACATGCAGCAAAAAGAATATACATTTTTCATATTTCGATTGACTGAACTGCTGACATCTAACTGGCGATCACTGAATATTTATCGTCAGGATAGACGAAGAAATAAGAAACGTAAACACGTTGAAATACTTTATGCTGAGAATTCGATTTTGTACCAAATAATATAATATTGAATAAAGCTAATAATAATAATAAAATTCATTTTAAGCAGCTAATAATACATACACAGCTAGAAAAGCAGTCAAACATATTTACATAAAATATGCATATAAATGAAAGACGAGTTAAATATTTCATTTTAATAAGTTCAAAAATCACTTGATGAAATTTAGGCAATTATATATTTGTCTAATATCCTGTAAATCTCAGAAAAGAACCATGTTTTATCATGAAAGAGAAAGAATGTATTTTCAAAATCTCAGCGAATGAATTTGAAAAACAACGTTTCGCCTAGCACTCTGGGCCAAACTTTTTCAAGCAAATATAAGCAAACATCAAAATTATCGAATATAAATAAGTACATGGTTCTCCGACTAACCGTATTCTAAATAGGTCATCCAAATACATTCTTCCTCTTTTATGTCTCATATCTACTCGGCTTCCAAACACTGTGAAACTATTCGATCAGTTTTAGACAAAAGTTTTCACGTAGCTTATCAGTTATTGTGACATTAGGTAATGGTATCTATATACTGTCTTGAAAATCGATTAAAGTTTGAATTGATGATTATGATATTGCACCCGGATGTCTTAATAATATCGTTTTCATCACAAAAGTAAGAAAAGTTATTAACTGTTCAGTTAATGTGTACTTCTGATTGTTATTATCAAAAAGTTACCTCATTTTGCGTTTAAGATTGACGTAAACATACATGAGTCGGTCAGTCAGCTACAACGTAGGACCAGGCATATATATGCATCGATCCAAGTTGCCATACCTCGTTAGCACAACAACATCAACACCGCATTCATAGAAGTAGTTAATTTAGTGGTGGTAATATATAAAAGAAAGGTTGTATATAAGGATACAGTATAGGAAGAAAGGAAGTTATTAAGCAATTTTAAACTCAATGTTTAAGGGAAGATAAAGAGTGCATACACCTACGCCATTGTGTTCGATTCTGAGCCATGTCACCTAAAGTCTCCAACCATTGGTTACGATAGTCACGCGGACCCCAACTAAGTATTCTGCATTTACCAACATGGATTAGACTAGAAGTTAGTGACTTCAAGTACTGCCACATTTTGGTTTGACCGCCCCTAACTCTTTTCCAACCACCCCCTACACTAGTCATCATAGCGCGTCGTGGTAATCGGTGTTCAGGCATACGTAACACGTGGCCCAACCATCTCAGTCGATGAAGATTCATGACCTCATCAACTGGTTTACCATCATTCCCTAATACCCTGCGTCTAACCTCACTATTACCTACCCGGTTATCCCAGCAGATGCGAGCAATATTTCTAAGGCATCTGTGGTCAAATACTAGTAACCTACGAGTATCTTCTACTCCTAATGGCCACGTTTCACAGCCGTAAAGTAGAATAGAACGGACTGCTGTGCAGTATACTCGTCCCTTAATTGATAGACGGATATCTCATCTTCGCCATAGGTGACGTAAGTTGGCAAAAGCCAAACGAGGTTTTTGAATCCGTGCTGAGATTTCGTCAGACACCAATCCATTAGGGCTGATCAGACTTTCAAGATAAGTGAAGTTGTCGACGCATTCGACTACTTCGCTCCCTATCCTTAGTTCAGGTGTTGACGCAGGCCAGTCCTGGAGCAACAATTAACATTTAGAAGGGGAGATCATATCCCAAACATCCTGATACTGTTGCTCAGTGCTACCCAAGAAATCTGCATTTTATCAGCGTCTTTACCAAACAGGACTATATCATCTGCGTATTCTAAGCCGATAAGTGGACCTCCTGGTAGATCATTCCTGAAAATTCAGTCGACGAGAGTGTTATTTCCAGCAGTAGGTCTATGATGAAGTTAAACAAAAATGGAGATAGTGGTCAGTCTTGCCAGACACCACTCGAGGTTGTAAAATTAGATGACAGTTCGTCATAAGCTCTGACTCGACTGGTAGTATTCGAGTAAAGAGCCTTCACAAGGATTATGTACTTCTGAGGTACACCTTTCAATGAAAGACACTGTCACAGAACCTCTCGGTATACAGAGTCAAATGCTACTTTCAAGTCAAGAAAAACTATCATTTTCGGACGCCGATAAGCATGTCTTCGCTCTAAAATCTGACGAATAGTGAATATGTGGTCGATGCAACCACGACCGGGTCTGAAGACAACCTAATTCTCTCGTGTTTGCAGTTCACGAGTCTTAGTTAGGCGCCCGATTATTATTGAGGCAAGTATTTTAGTTGCTATGTTAGACTAATCCCTCTATGTTTATCACAGGATGATTTGGACCCCTTCTTATATATTGGGACAATAAGTGATTGTGACCAGTCAGATGGGAATACGTCCAATTTCCATATTTGAGCCAAAATATTAGTCAACCTAGTCGCTAAAATTGGACCACCGTAAATGAAGTTATAAAGAGACTAGTTAAAAAGAATTTAGCTCTAGATAAGGGAAAACCTTTTCTTTTATTCTAGTCATCAGTAGAGTTACTACTTACTCTTACATAATGATAACGGTAATATGTGAATAACTTGAAGTGAATATAATTTATACTTTGATAAATTTCAAATCAGCATGACCTTTTATTATCTTACGCATAGACCTTTTCAGTTAACAGAAAATAGTATATAATATATTCATCCTTTAAAGTATTAAAGCATTGAATTTAATTTCCACATTCTTTTGAAAGAATATCCTACTTAAACAGTATTTCAATAGGTTAAGTCGAAGTTTACTTTCATCGATGTTTATCAATAAAATAACTTGGTGTCAATGTTAAAATACTTCTAACTGACTAGTTTAAATTATTAAACTCAATAGCAGCATTAAAATCTTTGAATTGCGTTGCGCTGTTTAGCATTTATGTTTCTGTGAAAGTTTACGAATAAATGATGTACTGAACTAGTACTGCATTCTTATTAGGAGTTATCTGTAGATTTTTATACATTCCTTCAGCGATATTTTCCATCCAAACACTGATTGATTGGTGGATTTATTAATCAATAATGTACTTACGGTTAGTTCCATCTGACTATTATATATATCCATAAGTAGGACACATTAATTTTATGTATTTCGATTCTTTTTCTTTTGTACTTAAATTTTTACCATGTGATCTAGAAAGATTTGCGCATAACGTTTTTTATTTTACTCTAAACCGAAAAGCTAAACGGAAGAGTTTACTACTAATGATTTTCCTAAAATGTAATTGTACTGTAAATATTCTACTTAAAACTTGATAAGGTTATTTTTTCAACTGATTGTTTGATATACTGCTGAAATTCTCAATGTTTTATTGTAATTAGCATGAAAACTGATTCATTTACGAAATGAATATTGTATAACTACATTTTAACTAATCTCTTTACTGATGTTGCGTAGTCTCTTAGGTCAGGTTATGTCAAATATTCCTTAGGTAATCTGACATCACGTTTTGATTTCAATGTAACAATGAATATTGTGTGTATAAATGTAATTGTATAGTTAAGTACACATTGTTATAGTACACTTTGAATCTGAATCATTTTGTGATACTGAAGTAAAAACGATAGCGTTTTGAAATAGTAACAGTATTGGTGTGTGGCTACTTAAACAACACCTACTTCAATTACTGAAGTTGGAAACAACTTGAATTCTTCAGTTGTATTGTATTTAGCTAGGGTATCCCATTTTATTTGTTATAAAACACAAAAAAAATCATTTTACCGATTCATAGTATGATTGATTTTAAATTAAGTCGATGTAATAAATTGCACTGTCTAAGCTCAGTGTATATTCGTGAACAGTGAATAAACTTGACTTTGATCTTAGGAGGTGTGTTATAGAACTTTTTATTGAACAATATTAAGCCTAAACGCATTGTTAGGTAAATCGTGTAATCTATTCAATAAGTTTGTAATTGTAGCTATTAATTGCGTCTGTTACTCCTCGTGGAGTATAGGCCGCGGACCAGGAATCTTCAACCTAATTTGTCCTGGCCTCTACATCCCAGTTATTCCTAAGTGCTATCCACTCTCAGTAAGTGGTTGTGCAGACTATCTTGTGCTCACTAGTTACTAGCTTCTAGATGGAATTTCTGGAGTTCTAGCGAGAGGCCGTGATCAATGGAGCTAAACCATGTCTGGTGTGAGGCATTCACTCACTGCAGACGATGGAAGATATTCGCTCAATATCATGAATTGATCGAAGTTAGACAATAAAGTCACTGGTTTCTAGCTTATCGATCTGGAAGTTAGGCGTTCGCGCGCAACATCGAAGGTCCTGTGTTCGACTACGACGTGGGGGTCGTGAATGCTCACTCCTGAGGGGTCTCATATTAGGGTAAAACAGTTGTTCATCCCCATAATCTCTAATTCCAATCCCCGACACAATGTGTTCTTTTGGTCTGTCTTTTTTCGTTTTGCCTTGAGTGTTCTAAGTTAGGGCTTGCTTGGTGATGCAGTTTGATGTTTTCGGCAATGTTTGTTCTATTTAATTATGGGTTATGTTTGACATGTATCAAGGCATCGGTTACCATGATATTTAGCGTTAAGTGAAGTATCTATCAGTTTTAACAAAGTTAATGGTGACCAGAATAAAACATTGTACACCGATTCCTAAAGTCATTGAATGTTTATGTAAACCTTGATTATTTCATTCAGATGTTTGCAATCAGTGGGTCAAGATACTCGTTAAAACTGTTAAGTGTTCCTGTACTCAAAAGCAATTTGATTTTAGTTCTTATTATAATCAATTAAATAAATTTAATAACTTAGAACATAACAAATTTCTAACTTAACAGCATTTGTAAATTGACAGGATTGTTTTCGATTCATGGTTAGAAGTACGATTATTGGATGTTGAAGCTGCACAACGTGCTGTAGCTACTACTATTTGGTTACGTTCAACAACGCAATGTCTTATGGAATATGAACTTGCAGGTATTTATAACAATCAATGTAGTTTAAAGATTTAGTAATAAATCGATATGAATTACTTTGAATTTCGGTTAGTTGTTATATTAGCAATCATAATGGTAAGTTATAGTCTGTCACCTACAAAAATGGTGAATATCATCAGCACTTAGTTGTATATATAGAACTAGAGGCTTCAACTAATATTTTCTGGCTAATGATACTATATCCAATAAATTTTAGACCAAATTAGTCAAACCAGAATTTAGTAGTTAGAAAATAAACTATCAAGAAGATATGAAATTGGTTTTTTCTATATAACTTTGGATGATGTGAAGATTAATTTATAGGTCATCATTACCTGATATTTTTGTAAGCTTTGTTTATTTGACTGTAGAGATGTTTCGACATTACTGAGTCAATTAGCTTCATTAATACCAGCGTGACCTTAAGAATTTGTATTCAAGTTGTAAATGAATAATAATTCTTATTTTTTAAATTCTACTTATATTCGACCTTAAATTTTGCATTTTACGTTATTAACATAATACTTCATTATTTGATTTACAAGATTTAATTTCTAGTTGACTGTAAAGAATGATTTTCTTTATAGATAAGTTAATTATATGGGGTCAAGCTGTGATAATGTTGATGATGATCATTCATAGCTTGGATGATCAAACTTATAAGAATGCTTGATACAAAATATCTGCATTTTTATAGTCAGAAATGTGACTATGAGCGCATCTTACTTTCAGGCTGTTATCTTAGTCCATCAGGGTCCTTGGTACCTATGTGTTTTCATCACAGCGTTTGTGGTGTATGCTACTTATATCTGTCAGCATTAATATCATTCCCACAATGTTGTATTGTCTAGTTTCTAAACAACCTGTCTAGTTTGCTTGAGAACCAATGTAAAATTACCCTTTTACCAGGTAATTTAGTGGTCGAGGCTTTGAACTTTCAGTCGCCATATAGCTATCCTCTCTCTGCCTACCTCATTTTAAACAGCAAACTGTCATTACGTTATTAGCCCTCAAACTTGCAGTTTGTATCCAATATATATATATATATATATATATATATATATATATATATATATATATATATATATATATATATATAACTCCGTCTGTAGCTCTTCCAGAACCACTGTCGTTCCAAAGCCCTTGTAAAAGGGGGAGGTTGGGCATGAGGTCTGTAAACCCACCCCGTAGAAAAAAACTTGTTAAAAACACACTAACCAGATTAAACAAATTAAACCATATAAACCCTGCCTTGGGAGTTGGAGGAAGAATTATTTGGCCTAAAGATGATAGCCAAGATTCTTCGGAAGTCACGAGGCCGATGCTCCTTCTAATAACCAGAGCAACGTTTTTTATAGATACATGGAACGTCTGGAAAATGTGGGAAACTGGGAAGACCAGTCAAACAGCAACGGAAATGAGGAGATACATCTTGGCAGTACTTGGAATGAGCGGAACCAATTGCACCAAAGCTAGACAGCAAAGGCTGGATACGGGTGAGATGCTGTTGTTTTCTGGTAACGGAGAGGAAAATGCTCCACACACTCAGGTAGTTGCTCTGATGCTGTCCAAAGAAGCACGAAATGCACTCGTAGGATGGGGATCTCATGGATCCAGATTAGTCAAAGCATCATTCAAAGCAAAGAAGAATGAAATCACAATGAATGTTATCCAGTGTTATGTACCCACCAATGAGAGCAACGACGACATTAAAGATCAGTTCTATGAAAGGATGCAATCAATTATAGCGAAGTGCTCACGAAAGGACCTCACCATCCTAATGGGAGATCTAAACGCCAAAGTCGGAATGAACAACACCGGATATGAAAATATCATAGGACGACATGGACTGGGAGAGAAAAGCGAGAATGGTGACAGATTTGCAAATCTATGTGCATTCAACAAATTGGTGATAGGCGGTACAATATTCCCCCACAAATGCATACAAAATGTTACATGGGTCTCACTGGACCACACCACAGAGAACCAAATAGATTTTATTTTTATCAATAAAACGTTCCGAAGGACAATGGAAGATGTCAGAACCAGAAGAGGAGCTGACATAGCTTCAAATCACCACCTGGTTGTGGCCAAGATGAAACTAAAGCTAAAGAAACACTGGACAACTAGACAAACAGCATTACAAAGGTTCAATACAGCCTTCCTTTGAGATACTAACAAACTCAACGAATTCAAGATAACTCTCAACAACAGATTTCAACAGGACCTGACAATATATCTGCTGTAGCATTGAAGTCAGACACTGAAGTGACTGAAAACATGTTTCACGTTCTGTTCAAGAAGATTTAGTAGCAGGAACACGTGCCGATGGACTGGAAATAATGACACCTCATCAAGATACCAAAGAAAGGAGATTTGAGCAAATGTGAGAACTGTAATGCCAATAGTGAAAAAAGCTGTTTACAGCTCATGCATATTTATTTGTGGGTTTCTAAATTAAAAGAACATGTGGAAGGTGACCTTGGTCAGATGAGTAATGTATTCGTTCATCTAATGCTGAGATAGTCTATAATCTGTCTGATTCTGTCCTAGTATATCACAGTGTTTTTTCTTGTTAAAATGTTGGTCTTGACTAACTGAATAGTTGACCACTTTATCACTAACATTATTTCTTGATGGAAAAAAATACAAAGTTTATCAATACATGGTTTAATTTCATGTAGTAGGAATGTTAATTTTATCAGATTTTAACTTTTTTACTCATGTTGTCGGCCATTTGTTGTTAGTGTTTACATATTTTAGAATGTTTACGTCGTCGTGATCAAACACTCACTGGTGATAGCGGTGACGGTTGTGATAATGGCAATACAACAACTAAAACATCAACAAAATATTGTTCTTCTAAAAAAGATGAAAACAAACGAAAAATTCGTCAGCTACAGCGTATATTGTCTCATAGTTTAGCAGCATTTTTAGCTGGTCAACCTGGTGGAGCATATTCTATTAAACGATTATTAGCAGCTGATGTAAAACAATTGTTTCGAAAACAGGATAACAACGATAATAATATCTGTGAGAATCAATGTAGGTTTTTGTTATATCTTCCAAAAAACTGATTATTCAATAGTATTTGTGAGGCCTGTGTGATGAGGCCGTCATCATGAAAACAGTTCTGTTGTCTAGTCTAATCATTGGTTAAATTATATTCAATGTATGCCTGTAAGATCAATGACCCAGTGACCGGTAAACAACAACTGAGAGCTTAACACGTATTGGCTTTCGAGTAACTTCCAACCCAGTGTCCAGTCAGAAGACAAAATTAACAAACACATATCTTCTATATTATACTTATTTATTTATTTATTTGAACACATAAATATAGGTACAAAGGGGCACCGAATACATATGCGCCACACAAACCAAACGACTTGTGTGAGGGCTGGGATACTCCATGGACACCAAAACCGAAGCAGGTGGTTTCCTTAGGGAGCCACATCCGGAGTCCTTGACTTAAAGGCCTAATCCACAAGGTAGTGGAGCAACGTCAGGAGATGCAGTCCCATAGTAGCCAGTGAGTAACAATAGTTTCATACACTATTTGTTCCTTCAGGATCCTGGAGCCGATGTGCACTATTGATTTGGAATCAGGATTTTCCAACTCCCCTAGGTGGGTCCTCCATATCCACCAACCCGGTTAAAGCTCCGTACATTCGCCTTTCGTCCTCTCAATTTCGTAAACAACACCCTCGCTATGAGAAGGCAGTGAGTAGAACTTCTCTGATAGTGGTTATTTACTCGTGACTATGTGAGAGCATTTCGAGAGTGAGAACGGACTATTCTCACCCTCGGAAATATCAGAGCATTCGGGGGCTCTATATTGTACAGTAATTTCTTTTAGCTTAAACATTCATGTACTTATATGGATGCATCATCGGTCAACAACATCCTAAATAGAAAATCATGATTTATACACAATAAATCCATGAGTAGCAGAGGATTGAAAAAGAGGCTGAATAATGAACTAGTAATAGTCAAGGAACAGTAGAGTGTATAGACATAGTTAAGGAGTCTAATGAATGCTAATAGCTCAAAGAATTTAGAAATACAATGATCCATATACCTAATGATTACACAAAAAAGATATAAAAAGTGGTAATCTGTAAAATAGAATTCCAAAAGTTACGATTTCTTAAATACTCCTCTCATAACAACAGTTTTAATGAAATCACTATTCTTTTTGTATATTAAGTGGCATGAGAAGATAATGGTGTAGTCAACTAGGTCGTCCAGTGTTTATATTTATTGATGACATCGACTAGCAGTTGCACTATATCGAAAATGTGCTGGAGCTGAAAAATAAAGATCAGTAGATTTATGGGGATGGTCCTCCTCCTCAGTGTGGAAATTGAACATACAGATTTCTATCGTGTATGGAGTTTTAACGAGGTCTCAAAATAAAATAACAGAGCTTATTAACGATTTTTCTCCGGTTCCTCTTGGTTCTTCAGGTGGTAATATTCGGTGAATAAAATTGTCTACAAGTTTAAATGTCTCTGATGGTTCTGAGATTCATCGATCTTCTCTCACATACTGACAACTGTCCAAAAACCAGTCAAGCCTCCTATTGGGCTTTAGTTAACGACAACTTGTTGCTTCAATCTTTCACTCAATAATGGGTGATAACTCAAGACACTGATGAAGCAGTTTTATTTTATTGAACATATATTTTCAAAAATGTCAAGAAAATCACGGGCAAAAGAAACTTCTAATTTTTACTTCGTGATGACTAGTCCAGAGCTACTGTATTTACAATGTCCTCCTATTATCCAATAAATATTATTTGTTATTAAAATTAATGGTGCATCCGATTCACACATCTTATTTCCAGATATCATGCAACAATTAAAGGCAACTTTGCAATTTTTGTACATAAGACAACTATCGGTGCAAAATAGCTAGTCCATGTCGTTTCAATACAGAAACTAAGAAACTTAGAACTTTGGTGACAAAATAACAATTTATTTTTCCATAGATTAGACCACGCATGGATTTGAACTAGACAACTATTAGTAACCAGGATGTACTGGACAGGTGTTTCGCCCCATCACGAGACTATTCAACAATGTATGCATGCACGATCCAACCGGGTGTCGAACCCAGAACTTTCGGTCTCGCGCGCGAATGTTTAGCCTCTAGAATATATATATATATATATATATATATATATATATATATTTCGGGAAGAATATTCAGTCGTATGATTACATGCATTATTTCTGAAGCTGAATAACGAATACAGCTTTTTTGGATTTTGTTCAGTATTTCAATACCATAAATAGCAGTATGACTATACAACTAACTGTTTAACTGTAAAATCAAATTATACAATGTAAAAACGTTCTTATTCATCTACCTTGTATTTATTTCAAGAAGCGGTTTTCTTTGTAAAATCGCTTTGTATAGTTTTTACTTGTCACATGATTTTCCGACTAATTCTCATTAGTCTTTAATTCATCACCTTTCACATTTATATATTTTGTAGCTCAATCTAAATCAATGCCTAGAACTTGCAAGAAAATAAATGTAGATGACATTCCATTACAAGAACCAGATCATGAATCCGGTATAACGTTCAATTTATTTAAAGGAGGTTATCAAGTTACAGATTACCTGAATATTGATTCGTAAGTAGGGATTTTCATATTTTTCTGTTTTTCCTACTAGTAATAAATACTCACTGGATGCTAATAAATGAAGTTAATCGGTCGGGAAATATAATATATGATTACTAATTAGAATGATTAAGCATGGAACAATGAATTACTAGTTGTAATACTTGGTTTCCAACCATTATTTCGCAGGTTTAAACTTGCTCATAGCTCTTATTGTGAACTATGTGCGATAACATCTGAAGACGCTGAGTGGTATGATATTTAGAACTCTGCCCGAGAAGTCCTGATGAGTCAATAGTTCCCAGTTTTATGAAGCTGTCTTTCGTTTCACTATACAATACCATAAATTGATCACCTTCACACTTCCTATTTAGTCCCAGAGTACTCAAACAATTCGATATACAACTGTAGCTGCTACCTTAACATGGTGGTCGGGCTTGCCTATCGTGATAACTCAACCGAGCTAAATTGGCTGGAACGTATGTTCCTGTAGGTTCTATCGTGCCAGCCAGGTCGATTGAAGAACGGTAAGACTCAAAACAGTAATTCAAGGTTTGAGGGCGAAGTCGTACTGCTGACTGTAGAGAGGTGTGACAGCAGTAAGGTGTATCCCTCGGACAACCACCATCTGCAGCGATGCTGCCTTCTCACAAGGAAGTAAGAGTTTAGGAAAGTTCGACCCTAAAAATGTCACGCCTCATGTTACCTCACGGATTTCCGTCTCTGGCGGTAAGACCCTTTGAAGGACGGAGCTAACACGTCAAAAACCTCCCACAAAAAGGCCGTGCGTGATCGCCCTCAAGCAGTTGTCCCTTGGACTCTGCGGTCACGCTCCCAGGTCGTAAAGGCCAACATTAATCCAACCTCCTTTTCAGGTTCCTCAAGAAATACCTTTCCACGGTGTAGGCAGCCGGAAAGTGATATTAGCCCTCATACTTGTGACAGCACACGAGACCAGGTTGTTCACATTCAAATCCTTCCTACACCTAATAACTCTTTTATCTCCACGACTAACCCTTTTCACGTCTCTTTATCACCTCGCACCGCTAGGGCAAACGATTCGAATACGCGAAACGTTATTCCTGGTCTCCTGAAATCACGCTCTAAACTACGTGTAGGAACTTTTAACGTCCGAACATTGTGCCAAATAGGACAACAGGCTTCCTTAGTTATGACCTCGCCATGTCATGTCGTGGATGCGCACTGCTGAGTCCCACAATAGGACAAAATGGCCGTCCAGTGCTTCCAGGTTTTCCATAGTGGTTTATCTTCAATTGACTCACAATCTCAACTATAAAATTACTAAAATCTCCACAAAACCCCCTTCTGATCATAATAAAGAACCAACTCGATTCACGCTTCGTGTATATGGAAGCCCTGATGCTGTTTCCCGTGGCCTTGCTGGCGTAGGTATAGCATTAAATCCTAAGGCAGAACTAGCTCTTTTAGACTGGATCCTAGTCGACAGTCATCTGTGCGCTGTCCAACTAAACGGAACAGTAAGGACTCGGAAAAATAGGGACACCCGTCGTCATCTCTGCCTACTGTCCCACTGACTGCAGCTCAGATGATGTAAAAAATGAGTTTTACAGAAAGCTTTCCGACCTTCTCCGAAAAGCTAGGAATAGACAATATGCAATAATGAATAGGGAAGAAATAACTGTCCGATGCTCCTGGTATTTTAGTTCAATTCCTGTCACTCCGTGCTAAAAAAGATTTCCCTTAGGTTAATCGGTCCATGCATAACACCTTTTAGATAATTTTATTATCGTTGTTAATATAAGTGAAATATACATATTTATGTTATACTTGTTTTACCTTTTTCTTTCATAGATTATACCCTGAAATGATATCAGTTGAGGGTCGATCAAGTGTAGAAGACAAAGATGAGACCGAGTATTATGATCCAAGTAGCAGTTATAATCTAGCTGTACGATTACGAAAACAAATCGCTTCTGAATCGCTTAATGAAGCTTCCAGTGATGATAATTACAAATGTCTTAATGAAAACACATCGTTATATGAACCAAATAAAAGTGAAAATGAGGATTGTTTTGAAAATGATGACTCTTTAGATGAGGGTAAAACTACTTGTGGAACCTGTGGTAAATTTATTAGAATTCAAGGTACTTTGCAAACTTCTATGTTAAGGCATCGAAGAAACTGTCAACCGTATAATGATTAGGAATTTTCCTATCAAAAGCCAAGTACTCCTATAACCTTGTATATATATATATATATATATATATATATATATATAACCTATATATACATAAATATATTTTTTACTTGACATTTTATTGGGTGACTTACTTCATTTTATGCACATGTGGCTCAGTTTTTATAACTAACTCAATTAACGCAAAATATCGAGCTTTATAGGCTATCTACTGGTTATGTTGCTTCTCTTGGAACTTTTGTCAATTTTAGTTGAGTTAGGGAGTCTTTTTTAAGGCTAAACTATTACCTACTTTTTTTTGACCGACCGCCGCTCATTTTTCAAATGTCTTTTAAATTGATAATTTACTACTGTCGACGACTACATCACTCACTCAATGGTTTACTTCGCACGAGGGATCTTATGAACAAACCGAACCACAATCACATATGACAGACCTGAGCATTCAGTTGTTGTAGAAAGGTTGATTGTAAGTTTGTCGCGTATGTAGCCTCAAGCTGGTGTCTACCTCGTGCAATAACATCATACAGGAAAACGGCAAGAGCTAAGACTCATAGAACTTCTTTACATTTGCACAGTAGGACTAGACATCGTCCTCCAAGCACATTGTGAAGTATCAGGTATGCTGCGTCGATTAGTTCGAATACACTCCAAATTTCATAATGAAAGAACACTTCCCAAAATGAGCTAAGAAATAAACTACCTTAACTGATCAAGCGTTTTGACTGCATATAACACTAACAGGGAGAATTCCTTATCTGAGCGATGATATTAAGGCGAGTTCCTTTAGAAAGCCTTACAAACTAAGTTTGCGTTGGATCATAATTTAGTGATTTGTATTACTATCTAAACATAAATCCTAACTACACGCTGAGAAAGACAACGCTTAGTCACGCAAACCAAAGTTAACGAACAATCTGCCGTTACATTTATTGTTAACAGACCATCTATGGCGCATGAACAGTAGTGATTGAACATGGGAAAATAAATAATATGTATACCTACAAACCCACCATTTGTTAAATGAAGCACATAGATAAAGATACTGACCACCACAAAGCTATAGGACGAAGCCATCAAAAAGACCACTTTAGCCAGGAATACGATAGAGGTTAACCTCTGAGTGGACGAAACTATACGACCCAACTTAAACTCCCTAGCTTCAAATGACTCATATACGATATGTAGTAATTAACCACCCAAATACATACATCGAATAAGTACACCATTCCTCATAACCAGCAATTTTAACACGATACAACATACTACCATTCTAACCACTTTAGAAAGAATGCAGAAAACCAAGCTAGTAATAAATGATATATTTACAAGCAAGTAGATTACGGTGACAAGACTAAGTGCTCTCCTTATTGGACTTTGAGGGCCATTCTACGATGTGTTCAATAGAGCCGGCTTCATACTGCTGCCACATTCGGAAATAGAGGGCTTCTATGTCAGCAGTGTAGCTGCGACAGCTGAAAAGAGCAGATGACTCTCTTGCCTTCCAAACCTGTAAAATGAATATCAGAAGTAAAAACACCAGACTTACTTTAGCCCTCATTGCTTGAAGATATTCACGGTTGTTTCCCAACTTGGTTGCGATTCGAACGTAGTCCTCCTGACTGTTGGCGACAAGCTCAGGACACCCCAAAGTGTGAAGCTGGCTGGCCGCAACGCGACTCGCTAATGTTTCGAGTGGAAGGGTAACTACAGGACAACCAGCCCACAGAACGTCCATGCCAGTAGTATGTCCATTGCACAAAGGCGTGTCCAGACAGACATCAGCAACCTATATTCATAAGTTATTAAGTTCTAAAAGCTTACCTGACCACGCCGAACATGTTCCTCCTTTGGCGCAACGTTACTAAATAAAATTCGACGGTTCACCTGTTGAAGACCCATCTCTGAGGCCGCTGCAAGTGCACCGGCTTCGCCAGCAGCTGGAAAACGTAGCAGCCACAACACACTGTTCGGGACACCTTTCAGGATTTCAACCCACATTCTCATTGTTGACGGATCAACCTTATATAGCTGATTAAAGTTGCAAAAAACGACGGCATCCTCCGGCAAGCCATAGTGTTGCCTGGAAGTAAGAATGAGATCACGAGGCACTTCTTCACCAGCAGAAGCTTTGGATTGTGTTTGTTGTGTCACCAAGCCATTATGAATAGTTACGCCATTGATAGTACAAGACGGACTGTTTGTACGAATCATGTTTTGTATAGGCTGTAAAGAGGGAATCGTTAACACGGTGAGCTTTGTGAAGTAAGAAACATCTTTACGTTGGCTGCCATGAATCTCAACCAAGCGACCTCCGTAAGTGACTTCACGCACACAAGCAACTTGTAGCAGGGCCTTGATATCTAAACCACTGACAACAATAGAATTATCTGTTACACGGCGTCCTGCGGTGGCATCTTCAGCGCTCTCCAGAATAACTCGGTTGCGTAAATGAGGGAACATTTGTTGATGATCCCCAATAAAGAATGTCTTGGGCATGTATGCCAACTTTTCAGAGTATTGATGGCTTAAGTGCATGGGAGATGTTACCATGTCCGTGATGATATAATCCATAAATGTCGAACCACTTGTGCCAGGATAACCCAGCCACATAGCTTGGATTGGTGCAGGCTTCAGTGCAAATATTTCATTACGTGCACCTTTCGTATAACCATTCATATTTAGGAGAATATGAATTCCATCGCTTGCAATTTTATCTGCAGCTTTTCCATGACACTGAATCCCACTTAGATCAACAAAGTGTTCAGCTTCATTTGCGACTTTAGCTCTGAAATTGGTGCCATCGTCAGGTGCAAGTGAGTAACAGAACACCTCGACTTTAGTTCGATCATGTAGACCTGGGATACTTTGCATCAAATGACTAGTCGGATGATTGCAAAAATCAGAGCTAACATAGCCAATTCTTAAACGTTGCCCAGCAGGTAATTTTTTGCTAAATCTAAATGGTTGATGATGCAGCAAAGACACCTTTTCCAAACACAGCGAAGCATGTTTCCCGGCAATCTTTTTGCGCTGGTCATGCGTCAGTGGGTATAACATGGAATGATGAGGGTGTACAGATGGCAGGCGATTTGATTCTAGCTGATCTTGTACCATGGAAACAAGTTTCTTCATTCGGTGCTTGTAATCAGACCAGTCACATACAATTTGCAGGCAGTGAGCAAGGTTGCAAAATGCATCCGGGAAGTTAGGTTTTAATTTCAAGGCGGTCTTGTAGGATGTTATAGCATCGGCGAGGTTACCACTGTCCTTCAGAATGCTAGCTAGATTTGAATGAGCATCAGCGAATGCAGGATTAATCTGAATAGCTCTTTGGTAACACTGCATCGCACCTTGAACATCCTGCAATTCTTTCAAGGTGTTCCCCATATTGGAATAAGCATCAGCAAATGTTGGTGATATGCGAATTGCTTCCCGATAGTGAAGCAAAGCTTCTTGCAATTTTCCTTGTAATTGAAGCATGCTTGCGAGGTTAGAATGAGCCACAGCAAATTCAGGATATATCTCAAGTGCTCGAACATATAGTCGTATTGCCTCCTCAGCCTTTCCTTGTTCACGTTTGATGTTTGCCAGGTTGTTCAAGGAATCTGCATGGGTAGGGCACAATCTTAAGGCTGTGTTGTAATACTCCTCAGCTTCTAAAACCTTTCCCTTTTCTTTGAGTGCATTGGCCAAGTTACAATAAGCATCGGGAAAATTGGGCTGCAACTCAATTGCTCTCTTGTAAGTATCGATGGCAAGATCGATAAGATTTTGCTCATAATAAACACAGGCTAAATTCCCGTGCACAACAGCGTTATTTGGAGATAGTGTCAAAGCCCTAAGGTAGGCTGCTACTGCACGATCGAATATGCGAGCCTCTTTCAGCACGTTTCCGAGGTTGACATAAGCGTCCAGAAAGGTAGGATCCAAAGTAACAGCCTAGAAGTTAATAAATACATAATGAAAACCCACCTTTTCAAAATGATGGATTGCCAACCATATCTCATTTTGAGCATTGAACACACATCCCAGGTTGCTCCAAGCCACTGCGAATGTTGGACAGGTCTCAATCGCTTTCAGATAGCATGACTACAACAAAAATGAAAATACATAGAAAGCAGAAGACGCGGGCGCTGAGCGGCTGTCAACCAACAGGTCCACAGCTAGGCATGCGAGCGCAATCACTACCTACAACAGACAGCGACTCACCACCCTTGAGCCGAACTTGATGAAATAACTTAAAGCGCAGTGCAAAACTTGCACTTAAGGGAACGCGCGAAGGGTAGGAGAAGGGGGAACTCACGAATGTATTTGTTCGCAGAACCAGTCCAGACTGAAGGATTGACTGAACAGCCAGCGATCGAAGACTGCACATAGCTGTTTGAAAGAAAAAACCTCGTTCATTAGAAAAACTGTAGGATGGCTGGAAAGTTTGCTTGATTTACTAAGCAGCGCGGCGGCCAAATAGGCCGCTATTTAAAAAAAAACATAGCAAAATATTATCCAAGCAAACAATCGCAGCGCGCCGCGGCGACTTATATGCCGCCTTACTTTCGCCTCATCCAATCGTCCAAGTGCCTTTAGTAGGTTTCCCAGATCACTTCGTACGCAATATAAATCCTAAAAAATTTGTTAAGACGCAAAGAGATCATACTGGGTTGTACTGCAGTGCTGTTGCATAAGCATTTACCGCGGACTCCATATCGCCTGCAGCAACCAAAGCAGCAGCCAAATTAATGTATCCATCGATAAAATCCGGTTTTATTCTTAATGCGTGTCTGTAGTTGTCAATTGCTTCCTTCAACTGCCCTCGCTCTTTGAAAACATTGCCGAGGTTGGAATACGCCTCTGCCATAAGTGGGTTTTGTTTGATAGCCAACTGGCTGAAATAGGCTGATCTTTCCATCCGGCGACACTGGAAGTGTATAGAACTGAGCAGTAGCAATGTGGATGTATTCTCTGGGTCCTGGTGCCATAATTGCATACAATGTTGTTCAGCCCGCTCATAATCTCCAGCTTGGTATTCTCTGTGTGCTAGTTCAGCAAGACCTGAACAAAGAATGATAGTCAATAACACGAAAGGATAGAAGAAAGACACCTTGTGTTGCGACACTTACTTGAAACATCTGTAAGACGCAAAATGGAACGCCTCTCAATCATACTACCTGAAGATCGACTTAGACGAAACAAAATGTCGTTGAGCGCCGTCGCCATAAAATGAAGTAACGCACATTAACAAAATGATAGTTATAAACACAACAACTAAAACCACTGAATTTCAATCTAAATCAATAGTATACAGTTCTTTACATGTTTTTTATTACTCTACCAAGATTATATGAGTGTTCAATGGCTCGGTATCAAAGTTGGGGCCATACAGATAATGACAGGGTTTATGTTTATAATTTAATTAACCTAATTCAGTTTCACTTTCAGTTTGGAAAGGACAGGAGGCTTGATGGCCTGTGTTAGTCCTGGCAATGATGATCTCTCAGCTGATCCAACTTTCTTTTGAAGGAGTCGACGGATGGAGCCTCAACCACGTGCTGAGGTAATGAATTCCACTCGTTGATTATTCGATGGGAAAGTCGGTAGTCAGCTGACAAGTAATTCGTTCTGGGCTTGTGAACTTTTTTGGAGTGTCCTCGTAGATTTTCTGTTTTGGAAGACAAGAAAAATGAGGGCATATGAGGTGCAAATTTGTCATTTAGCAATTTGAAAACTATAATCAAGTCACCTCTGATTCTTCTATATGACAGCGGGAATAGGTTTAGCTTGGTCAGTCTAGTACCATACGGGAGCTTCGCTATTCCGGGAATCAGCCTAGTTGCTGTTCTCTGAACCCTTTCCAAGAGTTCACTGTCTTTTTTTAGGCAGGCGTTAGCTGCTTGTATACAGTGCTCAAGTTTAGGGCTTACGAACACTGTATACAAAGTCAAAAACGTTTTAGCGTCAAGATGCCTAAAAGCCCTGCGTATGGACCATAAAGTCCTAAAACCTTTGGCGGCTATTGCACGGCAGTGTGCAGTAGTCTTTAAGTCTTGACTGACGATGACGCCTAAGTCATTGTGTGCCTGAACAATAGGTAACTCAGTGTTATTCATCGTGTATGTATCTGTACCCTGATGGCCAATATGCATCACAATACACTTGGAAGTGATTATCGGCAATTGCCAGGTTTGGGACCATTCAGATAATCTCTCCAGGTCATTTTGAAGTTCTAAGCTATCGCCCTTGCTTTGTATCGCTCTCCATATCTTGACATCATCAGCATAGAGTAAGACCGATGACGATAGTAGACGAGGGAGATCATTTACGTACAGGAGGAATAACACTGGCCCCAAAACTGTACCCTGGGGGACTCCACTAAGCACAGTTTCCCAGCTAGACAACTTGGAGTTCACCCTTACTCTTTGTTGACGCCCAACTAGGAAGTCTTTTATCCACATCAATAGATTGCCTCCAATCCCGACATTCCTTAGCTTATATAACAGCCGGTTATGCGGAACTTTGTCGAAAGCTTTGCTGAAATCGATGTAAGCTACGTCTATAGGTAATTTTTGGTCCTTAAGAGCGCACCAGCTTTCACGAGCGACTAATAAGTTTGTGAGACAAGAGTAACCTGTTCTAAAACCATGCTGCTTTTCGGAGAGGATCCGGTTTTCATCGAGATACTTTAACAGTTCCTTCCGAATAATCTTTTCTAAGATTTTAACAACCACACTAGTTAGGCTAATTGGTCGGTAATTCTCAGGCTTATGTTTTGTACCTGTTTTGAAGACTGGACTTACTATGGCGTTCTTCCAGTCTTTTGGTAGACGACCCTGGGTTACGGATAGATTAAAACATACACTTAAAGGGTTCGCAACAAAGTTAGCTAATTCCTTTAATAACCTAGGATGCAGTTCATCGGGTCCAGTGGATTTACCTATGTCAAGCTTAACTAGCAGACCAAAGACATCGAGTTCTTTAATGGTTACGCTGTCCAGTGCTTGTGTGGGTGGATTTTCATGGACTGGTGAGAAGGGTGTTTCTATGGTGTATACATCGCTAAAGTATTTAGAGAATACTTGAGCTTTGCCAAAGTCATCCTCCACTAGTGATGTGGCAGTACTGTCTCCCCATAATGAAGGAACATTTCTTCTTCTTTTTGTCCTTTGGTTTATATACGAATACAAGCGTTTAGGGCATTCTATGGATTCCCTAACGATTTTCTCTTCGTACAGCTTTCTGGCCTTACGGAGGGTCGAGGCACAGGTATTTCGAGCCTTTTGATACTGAGATTTCGCCTCGTCAGTCCCCAGTAACCTAAATCTGTCCCACATTTTCCTTCTTTTACGGAGAAGGATGCGAACCTACCTACTGAACCACGGTGGGGAGTTTCTCGGTCTCTTAGGTGTAGTCCAAGGGATGTGGGGGTGGTAACTTTTAAGTATAAATTCCGGAATACGTCCCAAGCCGTTTCGATTGATGACTCTGGATCTAATTTCCAATCTACTAATGATGCTGATTTCATGATGTCTGGTATGTTTGCTTTCCAGACGTTACGTCTGGATTGAGCTGAAGCGTACTCGTGATCGACAGTTATATGGAAGTCAAAGCTTAAAATTGCATGATCACTTTTGCCTAGGGGTGGCATGTAATCCAGGTTTGCAACATCATCCTCATAATGAGTCAATATAAGATCTAGTAAGGATGATGCAGAACCCGGGTAGTACCTAGTTGCTTCCTTCACGTGTTGTACTAGAGCACAAGTGATTATCGCATCAACTAGTTCCTGTTCGAAGGAGTTTGCTGACGATTCAGTCCGAAGATTTCCCCAGTCCACCATGGGTGCATTGAAGTCCCCTAAGATTAGACATCGATCACTTCGTGATAAAGTGTTGAGACTGCTTAGCAGGACCTCGTTTGCCTCACAGCTTGGACTGCGATAGATCAAACTAAGTAGTAACTCTTGTCCCCTGCATTTCAGGCGGCAGCAAACTAATTCATACGTCCCACTCTCATGGGATACACTGTCGATAATGGTGAATGGAATAGCATTCCTAATGAATAGAGCTACTCCCCCTCCTTTACGCGTTTGTATTCTATCGGCCCTTACCAATGTAAAACCCTCGAAATCAAGTTCCCTACTATCTATAGACGGCGTCAGCCATGTTTCTGTGACTGCGATTATGTCTGGCCTAGTTGAGTCAATCTGTACACCTAGTTCCGGTAGCTTATTTAGTAAGCTCCGGGCGTTGGTATAACAGATCCGAAGCCTATTTAGGTGGCCTCGTGCTTCACCCAGAGTGGCTTCGGCATCATCCTCTGTCGAAGCCTCACAACCCGAAAATTTACAATTTTCAGGTCTTTTTCGCCAGCGTCTAATCCGAGCTGTAGTTCCTTTTCGGCTTCCCGTCTTTTAACACGGTCCGCCAACGGTAAGTCCTTACGGAGAAAAACTCCTGAACCCTTTAATTTGTGTCCATTTTCTAAGATTAAGTCGCGTTCGTTCGAGGATTTGAAAACGACTTTGAGTAGTCTAGACTGATTTGGTTTCAAAAACGCTAGATTTCCTAGTCTATACACCTTTAGCAAGGTGACTCCGGGGATGTTTTTGGTCATAATTTGGTTGAGTAGTTGTTTTATCAACACAATGTCATGCTCAAAACGAGCTTTCGGTTGTAAGTTGTCACTCACCTTGACTCTATGGAGAATGACTGATCTGTCGCTGTGATCAGACCTCGGCTTGTTGACCCTTTTGGTGGGGGTATGATTTCCTTTTACGTCATTTTGGCGTTTTTTTTCTTAGGACCCGTACCCAATCGCCAACGTTCTTTGGAGTGGTAACCACATTCGCGTCAGGCGCACTGTGGGATTCCGGAAGAGTCAGGACGACTTGGGAGATCGGGTCATCTTTCGCGCTGGAAACCGATCGAGCCTTGCGGTTTCGGCTTCCTGAAGTTCCCTTCTGGGTACCATTTTTGATACGAGGGACAGAAGAGACTTTTTTGCGCGAGTTTCTGGTTGTAACAGTTTTCTTTGGAGGATGTTCTTCCTCCTTAGTAGGGTGTGGGTCGGCAGTTTTTGGACTCACTTGGGCCTGCCTTGTGTCAATCTGCGTGTCGACAGATTGAGTTCTGACTGATGTATCCCGACCGCGCTTGCCGAGACACTTTTTTGCGGCATTTACTATTGAAATGGCCTCGGTTAGCAGGCTATTTGCATCCAAACAGCACTGTTGACATAGCCATACACACCCATTTTTACTAAACCGCTTGAAAGCTGCAGGTGTTAGATTCGTGCAAACATCGTGGTACCAACCTTTGCACTCATCGCACTGCATGCCGCTATCAACAGGATATCGACATCCTGGGCGGTGGCAAATGCTTTTGTTGCATCTTCCAGTCATTTTAGGATGCGAAAGTGAGTGTTGACTATAAGTAGAAAAAAAAACTATAAACAGTTAGGACCAAAGTACTAACAGACACAATGGAAAAAAAGGTACTCAGGAGTACCGACGATAAAACTATTTAGGATACCAAAGATGATACTCTAATACAATACTTTAACTGAAAGAAATTCAATCAATGGTGAATGGATTTGATTATTCTTGACAGATTCCAAGCATGATCTACCTAGGGTCTCTAAATATTTATACACAAAGGTTTTTTTATCTAAACAGCAAACAATCGCATCACATAGTTCAAGAACAGAAGAATGTACAGATAAATGTCAGTATATACTTGATGGCGTGACTGGGTATGGGTTTGATTCAGTATCCTTATTCCAGGTGACTCAAACTCTTGCAATGTTCGGAGTCTTATAACTTGTCATAAATCTCACCATCGTAAAATAGCAATAAAGCTGTCCCCCGTTTTCGGCTACAATCCTTCTTTTTAGTGAGTCTAATAATGTTTATAATCTTACTTGACATTCCTTCAGTTCACGAGCAGAACTCAGTTATGAGGAGAAAGCTGAATAAAGAGATTATCTGGTTTTGTATCTATGGTCCCATAGATATTGTGGCGGTAAATAAATCCCCAAAATCAATAGTTCTGTAAGTGTTCGACATTGGATGCTGACCATATTGGTTTGAATGGACTCATTTAGGTGAAGGCGCTCTGTGATGCATCTGCACCATATTACGAGTTGTCATATTCCATTACTTGTCTATTCTGGTCTTGACGCTTGATGGAAACTTTTTATTTTGTTTTCTACCTT